TTGAGTAGTGGTGTGAGTGCTAAAGGATTTGTGTGTAGCTGCCGATGGCGTTGGGGGTTGGGGGACATGGGGGCATGGCTGGAATAGTGACGCAGAAGGAAAAGGTCAGGCAATGCAAAGTATTTGTTGTGCTGATGCAGGGAGAGGACAGCTGCTTGGTCAGATCAGATACTGCTGCAGCTCTGACTTGGGAGCGAGTCTGTCAGACTGCGAGAGGGTCAACTTTTTATAGCCTCACACACACACACACACACCCACGCACACACCCGGCCTGCCACCCCCTTTCCCCACCTCTGCCTTTTACTAAATGCAGAGAAGGAGTTAGAAATCACTCCATTCCTTCTGGGTAAACTGATCAATTAGCCCAAACTGCAACGCTTGTTAAAAGCCCAAAACCTAACCACTGTATCATGAACAAATGTTCATATCCGCTAAAGTGTTTGTTCTTTTTTATACATTGTAATCATTATTTTTCATTTGTATTTAACTTAGATATATGTCATACTTCTAAACAGGTTAGCACAGGACAGGAAGGTGAAGTTTAAATACAGATAAATAATACAGTAAGTTAATAAATACCATTTTCTTTCAAAATTATTGAAAGATACTGTTTAATTTTTTTTCACTAATCTGCAAAATTAGACTTGTTTTACTAATTAAATCAAAGACATGGACAAACGTGTATTCTGACCAAGTAAAAGTTTGAACATCTTGGTTAGGGCATAGAGCTTGGAATCCTGAGGTTCTGAGTTTGAGTCCCACTCCCACAGACTGCCACTCTGGGTCTCTGAGCAAGACCCTTAACCCCACACTGCTCCCCGGGGGCCACACGATGGCAGCCCACTGCTCCCCAAGGGGATGGGTTAAATGAGGAGATACATTTCTCCAATGTGAGATCCAAAGATCAATTATTATTATTCCCTTTAATAACTAATCTGACTTTTGGCCCAATTTTCCATTCCTCACACTCAGCTATAAGATATTTGAGGCATTTCTATCAGGAATAGCCTAATATAACTTACCTTATCGAGATCAATTATTTAACTCATATGACTTTCCATTTGTTAATTCTAAGCCGATCTTTGGTTGATGTATGAGGTATTTTTGGGACGTTTTTTTTCTTGCTGGTTCCAGTATGGTTGCCATGTTTTTTTAGATCTGCAGAGCTTTGCTCTGTTAATTTCAGAATGACAGATAAAAAGCTGTTTTGTGGGATGTTCAGAGTTATGCATATTATCCAATAAACTAATCCTGCATTAAACTTTTCTTGGCATGAAAGTCAGCAAATGAAGTTAAGGATTAAGAGTTTTAATGATACAAAGGAAAGGTATTCCAAACAGTACTAGAAGCATGAAGAAGAGGATGCGCAAAAATAAAAAGAAATATAAAAAACCAGCTGAAATCTGTCTGTATTTTACGACGGAGTATTAGGGCCACACATGAAGAGAAAAAATATTTTTGCCATGACGAGATTAAACTCGACATGTCGACTTTAAAGTCGACATGTTGACATTAAACTCAACATTTCGAGAATAAAGTTGAAATATCATGTTGAGTTTAATCTCGACGTGTCGACTTTAAACTCGCCCTGTCTGCTTTAAACTCGCCATTTCGAGAATAAAGTTGAAATGACTGACATGTTCTCAAATTCAGAACTGCGAGCCTGGATAAGCATAGGGAAAGACGTTACGTTATTATTGGTAGGCCACCGCTTCCTGTGATGATTATACAGTTGCAGCACGTCAAAGACTACCTTCACTCTTAAAACGCAGACTGCAGCTGTGGAGCGCGGTTGCTCTTTTCTCCAAACTTTGGAATGTCGAGATTAAAGTCGCCACGATATATCAACTTTATTCTCGAAATGGCGAGTTTAATCTCGTCATGGCAAAAATATTTTTTCTCTTCATGTGTGGCCCTAATACTCCGTCGTAGTGTTTAGAAAAACATCATGCTCTAGTGTGAAAACGATTATCCACTGGTTAATCATTAACTTATGATTTAATAAATGGTAATATTAGTGATAGAAAATAGACCTTTACAAAAAAGCTTTACTTAATGGGATCAGTTTCATTTAATATATCAGTGAGTGTAGTTGGAGCCATAAACAGAATTTCACCAAAAACCAGCTTTTGCCAAGTTTCTCTCGTAAGATTAACACTCATAGTACAAAAAGTAGTCCAGCAACTGTAATGGCCTTGAAACAAACTCCCAGCACAAGACTTCTCGCCAAAAATTGCATTATGGCTTGTTTAAAAATTGTTGCAGTAGATTTAAAAAAACACTGAAATACTGGTCGAATACAGTCTGGTCAGGAGAGGTCAAAGCTGAGGCTTTTAGGTGAATTGAACACATCATACATGCAGGAGGAACAGTTAAGCACACCAATAAAAAAAAAAAAACCCACAACATTAAAAGACAAGTTTGCAAGAGGGAATACTATATGGTGTAGGTCTTAAAAAAGATCATATTGGGAGGTTTTATGTAAATGAAGCAAAGGTGTACTGAGAAATGTAATATTTCTTTTTTTGATAAGATAAAGTGTTTTTTAAGAGAAGCTGAAAATGGAATAAGATGGACAGTTGTGCACCAAGATATACTTAAATACAGCTATGTAAACTCTTGATTATTTTTATAATAATAAAGTGAAACTGGTAAAATGGCCCAATAAATTACTTCACTTGTATTCAATTAAAATTCAATGTAAGGACTCTGGGAGATGAGTGGATTGAAAAGTGCCTCAGAATCTTCTAAAGATGAAGAATGTTTAAGTTAAAATATATCAAAATCACACCTAAACAATTAATGTTATGTAATCTACAGAGGACAAAAGTTTGATTAAAAACTACCAAAAAAAGGCTTTCCCATTAGCTATTTATCATATTTGCAAGTGTTTTTAAATGCCTTTTCCTTTTATTATACAAAATGTTGCTCCATAATTTTCTTATTGGACAAAATAACCTTTACTTCTCTCCAGGTGTGAAGTTTATTTTTTTCATCAAGCTGTTGGTGGAGAAAAAAATAATTGCATTGTGTTGGTGGAGAGAAAAAAAACCTAGAAGTTTTCTCATCCAATGTTTTTCTTACTTGCCTCTCTGAGCTTCTGTACAAAGTACGATTTTAAATCATTTTAGTTAGTAGAAAAATTCAATCACATTTATTTAGAAAACAATCACTGAAGCATCGAATGCTAAAGGAACCAGGGTCAGGAATTGTGAAAAAATACACATGCATGTCTAGTTTTCTTAATGCTAAAGGGTAATGAGCACTGAGCCTGGTTCTGCTGGAGGTTTCTTCCTGTTAAAATTGAGTTTTTCCTCTCCACTGTCCCTGCAAGCATGCTTAGTGTGAGGATTGCTTTTGAGTCAATGAGTCAATGCAATCAATTGGTTTTACTTAGATAAAAAACTTTGGGCCTGATTTATCAAGATCCAACTTTGCGTGCAGTAATTTGCGCTCGCAAACTGGAATTTTGCGCGAGGGGCTGAACCATGGTTTGCGGGTGATTTAACAAGAGCGATTGCGTAACTGGTGGCAGGCGCAAAACTGTTGGAGACGCCCTATTTAAATGATGGTTTGCGCGTTTTGTGGTTTGCGGCAAAGTAGTTTGTAGTTTGTACAAACTAGTGCATTAAGAAATTTAAATCTTACAGTGACACCCCCCCCTCCAAAAAAAAAAAATAAAAAAAAAATAATATATATATATATACATATATATATATATATATATATATATATATATATATATATATATATATATATATATATATACATATATATATATATATATATATATATATATATATATATATATATATATATATATATATATACATATATATATATATATATATACATATATATATATATAAAAAAACTTTGGCAACCTTTATTCCCTAAGGTGGTAGCCTATGTGGCTGAATTTCTACTTCACTGCAGTAAAAAAAAACAAAAAAAAAAACAGGTGTTTTGTATTGGCCTATAGAAAAATGCACATACCAAGTGGCTCACAAGGAGTGACTATGGATGAGATTTCTGCGCATACGCATCCCCGCATCATTGGCATGTTGCTCCACAGGCGCAGGGGGGAGGTCGGGGTTCTCTGGTAGGGCGACAGGGCGGCATTTAGAACGTCGGACAGCACTTCTGAAAAACGAGATTGGGAGATCCCAGCTCTCGCTGCAACCGTACGTTGGAATGACCCAGATGCAAAAAAGTGCAATGTTGCAAGGAGTTTTATGTTATCTGGTATTGCGTGGGTCCTCCTTGTGGTTGGCTCCAAATCCATTCGGATTCTCCCAACAGCCTCAAAATGGCAATGCTGGATAAACTATATGTTTTGATGATCGTTTCCTCGTTCATTCCAAAAATATTCACACGGAGTGAAAAAATGCGTTCTCTGCGTCTCCTTGCTTCAGTGAAATAGCTCACGTTTTTATACACGCAAACCTTTGATAGATCCGGCCCTTTGAATCAATTTGCCTTGAGTGATGTGTTGTGAATAGGCGCTATATAAATGAATTGATGAAGCATTAAAAACCAATGACCCAGGTGTGAGGTCAATTGACGCTACCCCCTACAGCTTTGATGCAGGAAGCCTCCTGCATCTACATCTACTGCAACAAGGGGGTAAAAAAAGTCCCATAGTAAACATCATTACAGCATCACCAGCGCAGTGCTGTGAATATAAGACTTCAGGCTTGGCAGGTTTCTGCAGTTACCGGCATTTAAGTCTAATTTCCTCATCATGCCTCTAATTCCTTTAATATCCGAACTCTCATTTCGTAATAATGCACTGCTAGTAGTATTGGTTCTAGAGCCACAAAACCCAGTGATACATACAGTATTTAAGCCTGTGGTTTTAACATAAATACATTTGATAAAGCTCAAGATGCTTTATTATCCACAGAAGAAACAAATAAGTAAAAATGTGTAACTATCAAAGCCTATAATACCACCTCACTTTTCACACTAACATTGTTGCATCTCTTTTTTATTTTCAGATGACTCTGCAGAGGAATCTGCGTTCAATCACCGTAAGTGGAGTTTTCATCCCTGTGAACCTCTCTCTGGACAACTTCCACCATCGTCGTCACCTGTTACTCTCCTCTGCTGTTTGTTCTTGTTTTCTGTACGCATTGTAGCACTTTATAGATATGAATCGTAGAGATACTTTCCATTCAGGTGCTGTTTAGATCGAACTGTAATTAAATGCCATGTGTGCCCTGCAATCTATTCATAAGGAAACAAGACAGTTCTGTTTAAAATAAAGTGTATTTTACAGCCAATCTGTTTTATTAATAACTTAAGATTATTATGTATTTAAAGTGAGACTGTGTTTAATTTGAAAGCACAAAATATGCTCATATGAATGAAATGTATGTTCCTTAGAAATCAAAAGGTAGCATCATTAAAATCAGAAGATTTGTTTCTATAGCATCCTGAGTCTGCTTAATGACAGTTTATGCTATCTGTTATTATTAACAAAATATTGATATTAACAGAGGCATCATGTATGTACTGTAATGCCAACAGGATTTAATATGAAGACATGTTTGTTCTCTCATTATTTTACCTTAATTGATATGGAATTATCATTTTTTTAATTTTATCTAGCAGTTATTAAATCAAGTAGGAAATATAGCACACATTAAATATAAAAGTTGAGGTTTTTAGCTTGCAAATTAGCAACATTTTTAAATTAATGGATGCAACTCTAACCATTGGAATACTTTCAATGTGATCCTTAGTGTGTTCAGGAAAATGCATGAACAGACATCAGTGGTATGATGAAGCAGTGTTGTGGGTTGAGGCGAATTCTCCTCATTAGTCTATAAGTGATGGATTAATGGAAAGCTAACAGTTAACTCAGACCTGTAGTGTTTGTTAGGAGAATTAGCAGACCAGTTAAGTTTCCACAGACGTTTAACTGTGTTCTTTGGGGTTACAGGTTTGAAGAACCAGATTTACTAGTCAACAAGTAGATAATTGGTTCACTGCAGTTTGTGCTGCAGCTCTGCTTCATTCGTATAGCTTTTAGCTTGCTTGGAAGCATTTCAATGTGGTGTTCCATTTTCTCGGTCGTACTTAGTCAGTAGAAACTACTGGTGCATCGATATGATGTCTGTATTTCTGACTTAGAAATTAGAGGTTTCTCACAGGAACTTCAAAATCCAACATGGCTGCCACTTCTTGCCTATTTGGTAAGATGTAGTTATAAGCTGTTTGTTTGGAATCTAGATTGTTTGCATCTCATTAAATCAAACAAGCTAACGTTGCTGTGTATAGGCAAAGAATTGCCTCACTAAGTTGTTCAAACTTGAAACTTGGCAACAATAGGGTTAGCTGTACTTTTGAGTAAACCATCACCATGTGTATTTTATAATATTTGCAAAAATTATAGCTTTTGTATATAAAATTCTGATATAATGCAAAAATAGAAAGATAATTTATAAGAGCTGTTTAGCTTTGAACAAACCTCCCCCCTCCTTTGTTGGCACACATCTATGGATAAATATAATTCTGACCTATCATCAATATCTATCAGGCTCTTGTTCAGATTTCTGTGGAGATATTCATGTCACGCCAAAAAAAAAAAAAAGATCACAGGGTAGGTCCGGATGACTCTGAAGGAATTACATACCCTGTCCTGGATAGGAATGCCTCAAGGTCCTCCAAGAAAAAAAATGAAATATTGCTAAAGAGAAAGAGACATGCTCAGATTAATACATGCCTCTATAATATTAACATGCTAAAGTGTAAATTACACACATTTATTTACCCTTAGTGATTAATCAATGAATGGAATGATGACGGTGCTGTCTTCTAACAATGGAATTAAAAAAAGAGAATAAATTTGTGGTTCCAAATGAAAGGAGATGATGCCATGGGACTGTTTAAATATTGTAGTATTGCAGTTAAAGAGGATATAAATGCGCTAATGGGGATTTCCCACCTATTTATGGAAAGGGACCATTTCTCTGTAATGAATCATTCGTTCTATGATGGATCTGGTCCATATCCTATTTGAAATATTTACATTTCAAATTTGTTTATTTCCACGTAAATATTCATCATCAATCATTAAACAAAACTGTTTTTCTGTCTGCCATCACAAGAGAAACCTTTTGCTGAGGTTTGTAAAATGCTCCAAATGCCTACCTGAATAATGTATATATGAAGTGTTTTATTGTTCTTTCTTTAATGCACATCTCTTGTATTTACCAGTGAGGCAGGAGTAGTAACACTATGTATGTTCCTCAGATGAAAACAGAGCTGCGACTCTGATTTAGCAGTGTGCTCAGGTCACTATAAGTAGTGTTGGGCCTAATGAGTCGGAGCCAGCTGAGACATTTACAGGATAACTTCCTCTATTTGTCTTGGTTCAGTTTACACTTTTGTGTAATGAGATGTGCGTGTGCCTGTACGTGTTTGTGGCCGTTAGCTATGCGTGGCATTTGAGCATTCTATGAGCACAACTAGGAGTTGCGTTTCTTAACTGCAAACAGGATCACCCCGAGAACACGTGTGAAGCATATCTTTACAATTAACACTCACCGTAATACCAGGTTCTAAAAGACACAGACTGATGTGAAACCTTTACTAGAAACACTATACCAGAAGGATCAATGTTTTTCGCTTGATTTTGACTTTTTTTTTTTTATAAAAGTAATAATATATTCTGTCCTGTTTCCAGCTGAATATGTAGCAGGGCTTCATTTGCCTTTGTGCTGATGTATACCACCAACCCTCTGTAGATTTGCTATATGCAGAATGTTTCAAAGCGTAGCACAAAATAAAAGGTATTTGGAGCTGCTGGTCAGTCTACTTACCTCCATTTAAAATACATATCAGTTCTCCTCTTTCCCTAAAAGTTTATTTTACTAAGATTTATCCAGGTTTTTAACATATTTTTTCACTTTTTTAAAGTTCCCCTCAAACGCATAATCAAAAATGGAGCATTTGGTGCAATTTGAGGTGAAATGTTTTAAGCTACTGAGGCTCATTTAACTGAATAAAAAGCAAAATTATTATTCACGGTGGGTAAAGTTGACATAGTTTTTCCAGTGTTGGATGACTAAAAATAATAGTTTTCTCTCTTTTTTAAGAACTTTTTAAGAGCTCTTGTGTATATTCCACTGAGACATGTAAGAATTATATATTAAAACAGACATTTGAAATATATTTAGCTTTTAAGCTTTTCTAAATCTTGCATTTGGTTAGATACCAAATACGATGGTACGAAATGGCTTTAACCCCTCATCAGGAAAGAGTTATTGGTACTTTTTAAATTACTTTTTCTTAAATCAGTACCATCTAGAAGTGTAAACACCTCTTAAAATGTGTATTTAGAATTGTATGTGAAGACCAACAAGAAGTAGTGCATAACTGTAAAAGGGAAGGGGAATCTGAAGCCTCCAACAACCTTTCCTTCCAAGCTAGCCTGTCTCATTCTCCCTTCCTATTAACTCTGCCCAGCTTTCTTGTTGTAAAGGAAAATTATTCCAGAAGCACAGTGCCACTATATCTATAGAGATATTGATTTTCCACAGTGTTTTGAATGTAAGCCAAAAAATGATGATCTCCTACTTTTGTCATGTTGCCCTCTTGGTTCCTGGCAAACTGAACACATGACCTCCTGTTCAGCTTTATTTATACTGAGCTGTACACACTGTTTTCCATCTACCTGCAAATGTAATTTCTTGCAATAATTTTACTAAGCGGTATTAGAGTAAAGGGGAAAATGTTATATGAAATACCCCCCAACTCCCTGAAAATGATGTAGCGATTATTCTTAAACCGCACAGTTACGTGCTACTTGTTTTGGTCTCTCACATAAAATCTGAATAAAGTACATTCAAGAATGTGGTTGTAACAGGGTAAATAGCTCATACAGCATTAAAAACCATTAACAAAGCTCTAACTGTTTTATAACATTGTTTAGATGGACTTCAGGTTTATGGCATTACATGTGAATGACACACCAAGGGCAGTTCTTATCTTTTACCTTGACAAATGAGAGTCACAGTGAGAGGAAACTAAAATCAGGTGAAACTGTTGAGAAAAATAACACATTAAAGACAAACTGTACCAGTATAGATGCCATAATGAGGTTCTGTACTGTTCGCATGTCATGTCATGAAACCTGACGGAATTTCGAGATAAAACATGGGAAACTGACTCTTATCCATGATCTTGTATAAGAAAAGAGGAATATGTGACGATAAAGTTGAGATGGTCTGAGATACGTGCATAGAGAAAGTTTAAAGATAAGGAGCAGATGTCTGAAGTCTATTTAGATTGATACCATCACTGATTGGAAATAGTCCTCCGTACCTGTGAGTAGGTTTAATGATGGGAAGAGAGGTGTGATTATTTTAAGGGGGGATGCAAATGCAGTATTTGCTTTTACTGTACCGAAAGGAAGAAGTGTGACGGATAAATGTAATGCAGACTTATGCATCCACAGTAGTTGGCAATAAATTTCAAAATGTACAACCACGAAAATGTTTCTTCCTTGTGAATAATTTGATGGATGTTTGTAATTCTGTCTCATTTTGCTGTCGCCTTAAAGAAAGTCAGAGAGGTGATATTTTTGTGTTCTTCGTACCACCTGTTGGTCAGAGTGGTAACTTTATGGGTGTTTATGATAAAAAAAAAACATAGAAAGGAAATTGAACTCTCAACTGAAATAATGTTAGAATTTTTTTTTTTTTTACTTTATGAGACTCTAATATATAGTCTCTTTTCAGGAGGTTGAATACTGCCCCAACTAAGCAAAATGTTAAGAGCACTTTCTGACAAGGTGAAAATGTTGACCTTGTTCTGAACAAAACCCACTACAGCGCTAAGGCATCAGTCTTAGGCCCATATTCCTTACATAAAATCTGTTAATGTCTTCCTGCTTAAGAAGATGATTTTTTTGTGCTGTTGCAGACCATATGACAAGCTCTCAGGTTTAAAGGTATAGTGGAGGATTTTTGCTAATTTTTGAAAACACCCGCCATCTCCAACCTGTACCTGCTCCCGAGAGGGAACGCCTATTCTAAATGTGTGTGAGAGCATGCAGAAGCCCATTTCAAAGTTGCTGTTTGATTCGCTCATACAAGCTTACTTTCCAAAAGAAGATTTGCAATTTTTCCACAATATCAGACTCACTACCGGTAAGTAAAAATGGGGACAAGCAAGTAGGACAGCCTTATGTAAACATATCACCATCATGTCACCTCCAATTAGGAGGACTACTTATTTTGATGGCCCAGCTGGAAAAAGAACATCCTCCACTATTCCTTTAAGTTTTTTGTAAAATTAAATAAGATTTCTGTTTAAAAAAAAAAATAAAGAACAAAATTCATCTTTCTAAATTTATATTTAATCGAGAAAAAAAAGTATATATATATGTAATTATGATGAGAAAATCTGTACTGGCAAAGACAACCCTCATCATTTCTGGCCTACTTTTTGTTATGTTTTCACTCTAATTTTATAATCAATCTTGGTGATTATTCCAGTCCCTTTGAGGCTGAAAGGCTTCCTGACCATTACTCTAAACTTTGGCTTCTTCACAGATCTTTGATCACATTTAGGCCTCTAAATGATTACTTTGAACATATATCTATATGATGTGTGAATTTTTTGGGATATAACTGTACATGATCCACAGAATTGGCTTGAATACAAAATTTTCTAGTAAGTGTGAATAAATCCTCTATTTTGACTTCAGGTTCTTTCAAACTTGACATTTAGTAATTGAAACTTTTACTCATGATGCATAAAACGCATTCAAATGTTTTGTAAAATAAAATTAGGCCATAATGTATTGGGACTATTATTTTTCTGTTCGATCAAAACCTAATAAGAATACGTCTCAATGTACTGCAATTTATTTTCATTTCCATTTAAATAAGGTTAAAGAAAATAGCGTGTGGGTGGCGTAGAGAGAGGAAGTCATCCCTTAGAACTCCCACTGACAATCATAAAAACATACTACCCATATGTATAGAATACGATCAAATGACTTCAAAATAACATAGGTGAGAGGGAATCAAGTAGATTTATGCTAGCAGGAGAACACGTTTGGCATGTGCCATGCGTGCGAGGTTAGCTTTCTGGTGACAGTGAAACATCACCCGCCGGTGCTTAAGTTTAACCTGACAGTTTGCTGCTGTGTTTACTTGGTTGCTGTGGATGCAGTGAAACTGGCAGACACCCGCCTGCCCCCAGCTGCTCCCTGTGCTTTCTAAAGAATCTACATTAGGGCCCAGTTGTTGCTTTTGGATGCCAGCAGGGGCTCTGATGTCACAGTTGTGACATGGGAAGAGTTAAGATTTATGGCCTTACCTGGATCAGCGAGGGAGTGTCATGTTTAAGCTGTCAAAGTACATCTCGTCTTTGCAGACTTTTGCTAAAGTCATCTTAGAAGTGTTTCCTTGAATCAGTTCGGGAGAAAATACATGCAATTAAACACATTTAGAATCTGTCAGAAAAAAGGGTAAAATATAATTTGCTTTTTTGTATAAACAAATTATAAGTGCATAGCTTTAATGTTAAACTGAATAAAAACTATGGGGCTCATTTATAAGGTGTTAAGGAACTATAAAGTTCCATCTTTGATCAGAATGATCCTATAATTCTTTAATAATTTAATAATGTTGACCTTTTGCCTAACTTGTTAAGTTGCTCATACCTGGTGTAGACAGCATTTCTTAATGTAAGTTAACCCAAATGTACTTCATTTGAGATTCCATTCAAATTTGCCAGAAGATTTTTTATTTATCTTCCCATATATACCAGTATTTTTCAAAACTATTTACAAACAGCAATATTTCTCACACTTGAGTCGGGTCTGTCATGAAGGTGTCGTTCAATTAAACATTTGTGTGAACAAACTGAATTGTTACCATTAACTTATTCTTTACTTTCTCAGTTTAATTCAAATCAGAACAAGTCGGTCAGAAAGGAACTTCCATGTTCTGTGAATGTTGTTGTAACTCGCTGTTCTGTTTTAAAGCTACAGTGTGTAATTTTCAGCAACATCTAACGTCCAGACTGCAGCAACATGAACATCTCCCCCCCACCGCTTCTCCCCCCCAACAGTACGGCGAGCGTTACGGGACAAAATGTCTTCCACGACGTCCGCACCTACCTTCTCAAGTGATGAGGTTTGTTTACATAGATAATTTTAATACTGCCATCTATTGTTCAGTACCGTCTCAGTTCATCTCTCTCAACTTGCCGTAGTTACTTTCGAGCATAATGGGCGATCTCGCAATCGCTAGTTTGTTGGCTCTGCGCTGCCGTAGCGCAAAGATGTCTACCTCCATGGCTGCAAGACCCGCTCCTATGTAATTATAAATAACGAATTCTAAGGCAACGCAAATATTAAGGTTAAGAGGCTGAGCTCGTAGATGATGATAAATAACATAGTTATGTATATTACATTTCTGACTGTATATCCCTGTAATTATTACACACTGTAGCTTTAAATGAGTTGTAGATGTTAATAGCAGGAAGTGTCTTCTCCATCTGTATATTTTGCACCACATCTGGAGAAGCCTATAGACACTGTAATTTAAAAAATCTTCTGAGGAGGTTGCTCACTGTTGTCCATCATGTTCTTCACTTTTATAAGAATTCTTCTTTGTGAAATAATCTCCACAATTTCTGAAGGAATTGCTAGAGCAGAGTCAGACTATCAACTTTTTGAAGTTTTTTACAGTAATTTGCTCTGATGCTGCTATCCCAGCAGACGATGGAGGAGGAGATCACGCTCTCCACAACATTCTTATGGAAGATATGTAGCATCTTGCTGCAGAGTCTGCTCTGTCCTTTCTTGTAAAAGATTTCATAGTTGCACCTGTCAGGTGTACAGAGTAAAAAAAATACAGCCCGCAGTGGTGATTGTGTATTTCTGACTTCGTGATTACACAGTTGACCCTTCAGTCTAAAAAACTGTGGTCTGTTTGTCAGGTATCTTCTGACAAACAGACCACAGTTTGATCCAGGTGATTGTTGATGCCTCCAACTGACTTTTCTGGAGTTTATCACAAAGTCAGTCAGGCTGAACTGTTTTAAATGCACTGAAGAATTCAAAGAACATGATCGTCACATTTCTGTCTGCCTAGTTTAAATGACAGCTGGTTTGTTTAAGCAGTTGTATGATGGCATCTTCAACTCCAACACAATGATAAGCAAACTGCAGGGGGTCCTGATTGCTGCCTGTTTGCAGTGGTGAAACAACAGAAGTCTCCCCAGGACCTTCATGATGTGGGATGTCAGAGCAACAGGTCTTTAGTCACTGGACTGAGTTTTTTTTTTTTTTTTGGAACTGGTACTTTTTGGTCCTTTTCTTATTGGAACTCCTGCATCCCAGAGAGCTGCTTTGCACAGACCTTTAAAACTCTGGAGCTGATACCATCTGGGCCTGGTGCCTTATTTCATTATGTCTCTCCAGACAGGCAGGGAGCAGCACTGCCCTCTGATTTGGTTGAGAACAAATGTGTGAAATGAGTTAAGTTGCTCTCACTGCATTTTACAGTAGTGATGGCGTGTTCTCACATGCCTAATAAGCAAAGAGTAAAATTGCGACTACATCTGAAGAAGACAGAGATGTACTCTGTTTGCTGACTAAATTACATCTGTGGCCAGATGAATCTAAGAGATTTTTTTCATTAGGAAAAAAATAAATAAATAAAAAAAATAAATAAATAAATGGGGGCTATTTTCCCCCAGTCTATGCATTTTCCATAGGCTTCGAGAGCGGACCTCCTCAAGGGAAAAAGACGCTCATACACTGGGTGACGCTAGTGCCTTTTCTTTAAGCCCCACCACCAACAAACAAGTTGAGTGTCTGGTAACTAGTAGCAACCTGAAATACGCTGAGAAAACAGATTACTGAGGTGAAATGGAATCTGCTACGGCACTCTTGCTGTCTGTGTACGCCACAGGTCGGTATCGTGTGTGTGTGTGTGTGTGTGTGTGTGTGTGTGCGTGTGTGTGTGTGTGTGTGTGTGTGTGTGTGGGTGGGTGGGTGCTTGTGTGTGTGTTCTCATTTTTGTTAACCCCTTGCTCACACTGGCTCCGGTGCGGTTACCGAGCCGACGGAGACCGCAACTCCCGCACACCCCCTCTCACACCGCCCTTTTGACTACGGTGCGGTGCGGCTCTGCAGGTCCGGCAACAGGTCCGGAGATTTAACTCGCGAGAACAGAAGTTCACTTGAGTTCACGTAACTTCACGCGATAACACGGCCCAAATAAGGATATTTGCAAGAGCTTGTTGCGGAGGGCTCCGGCACGCCGCAAGAATAGCTTTCTTGCGGAATTTTCTGCAGCGCCAGAGTGTCTCGGTAACCGCAGCCGGACAGCTCAGCAGCCGGTGAGAGAGGTTTACGTGTTTTTAATGACTTGGAATCACTGCGGCGCAGCACCCACCGCACCGCAACGGTAAGACCGGAGTCGGTGTGAGCCTGGGGTAAGAGGCTGAAAAGTAACTTTCTAGAGCATAGACTACCCTCCATCTAGTGATGTCGGTCTATTGATTTTGATGTATTGATTGAAAATTGTTCATTATTATCTTGGTTAATTAACATCTAATGTTAACTCTACTAAATTTTATAGCAGTAGGGTAAAATGCTTGTCTTTGTTCAAAAGACTGTATTAACTGTAAAGACTGTCTTTTACATCAGCCTGTTTTCAGGGCCTTTTTTTTTGGCTACATATTTGTTATTTTTGGCATAAATCAGTGTCTGTGACCTGTTCTCATTTTAAAAAAAGAACATTGGCACAAACCTAGCCTGTATGTATTTTTTTGTATGTCATCGAGAGTATTTAAATGATTTTCAATCAGGAAAAAAATGTGCGATTAAAATGCGATTAATCGCGAGTTAACTCAGGCATTGATGCGATTAATCGCGATTAAAAAATTTAATCGATTGACAGCACTAATATATATATATATATATATATATATATATATACATATACATACATACATACATGTCATAATGTTCTTTTCATATGAATACTTTGGAACGTTTTTATTGTTCTAGCTCAGCGCCAAATATGAAAAGCTTAAATTAAAGTTTTATGAACATATTTTTTTTTTCATCAACTAATAATATTAGCCAAATTATAACAATGGCAACCACCATTAGGAGACAAATCTCTAAAATCAAGAGCCACATCAGCCACAAATGTTGAAAAGCAAACAAACAACAAACAAAACAGGAAATCCAACTGTTACTTGTTTTTTTTCGCAATTTAAGCTGCATTTAACTTACATCCCAAATCTTCCAAGTACAAAGTAAACAATGTACCAATAATTAAATAAGTATTAGTATTAACATCTAGATTAAAACAAACAGAATTATCACATTTGCAGAATATTATTCATTTCACATTTGTGTTTTAGGGCACAGCAACATTTTGGGATAAACTGTTAATTTTCATTTGGAAATTAATTCTAAAAAATACAATATCACAGGGAAATACAATATCACAGTGGAAAATAATATTTTTGGTCCTGAAATCTTATAATGCACACTTTCCTTTTACCAATATTTACAAGTTCTTCGTTACTGCAGCTTTATTAGGGGTTTTGGGGATAACAATACTATGCATGCTAAGTACACACAGAACAAAATATGCTTTATTCTATGTGCCCATTATAAATACAATTTTCATAGAAATCCAAAAATACTAAGGCAAAAGTTCCCAATTTCTGAAAAAAAAAAACATAAAATGAATGCCTTCAAATGTTTTTTTTATATAACCCTTGCTCATTTTGCCCCTTCATCAATTCATAACTTAAATTTATAGCCATATCCTACCAACCTCTTTGTATTTGAATCTGTAAAGAAATTATTTTGTAGGAAGAACCTAATAATTGTAAATCCGTTTAGCATGCTATTTCAGAACTTATTATGAATTATGTAGATGAATAATCCTATATTTTTGTTACCTAATGTGAGAAATCCTAAAGAGGTACAAATAAGGTATGGTAAGGTAAGGTATAAAACAAAATGAATTATTTTCATATTCAAATCAGAAATTTGGAAACAAAACGGCTAAAAACATAAAGGCATGAAATGCTGAAGGGTCAAAATGACCAGCACCCCCTTAAATACTCACAGAATGTAAACGTTGCTTATGTTGCTAAAAGCATCATTTCTTTTTTTCCCCTTTTAACAAACTTTTTCCATGTTGGCCTGTGACAGCGGCCTCTGAAAGCAGTTTACACTTTTTGTAGTCAAGTCATCATGATGGCCTCTCTACCAGCTGGACTCAAACACCCTTTTGCACATGTTGGAGTTCTCCTGATGGAGAGGGAACTCAGAGCCAGGCACAAGTTGCTTTTTACCCTTTCGTGATTTAATGCTTTTCCCCGATGGCAAGCTCTCATACCTGGTAAAGTATTCACTAAGAGAGGGGAAAAAAAATCAGAGGTAAGTTACAGCTTTTGTTAGCTAAAAGAGGATTAATTGGTTTTCAGTTGATCCTAACCTGACAGGGAAAGTAGCCTTGTCCATCTGCATGCACACCAGGAAGGGGTATTCAGAGAACTGGACTGTAGTGATGAAATCCAATGAGGCTTCTGTCTCAAAGCTGACCTCCAAACCTGCTCTTAAAAAGTCCATGTCCACTGTTACGTTGCCGGTGACAACCAATGCCGCTCTGGAAAGAAAACCAAAGGATCGCACGGTCAGCGTGGTTCAGGAAATTAACAGACTGGGTTAATAAATAACCTCATTCCTAATTTTTCTTAAAAAAATAAAAATAAAAAAAATTGAAAGTTTCATCTGAGAAATAATAAAAGATTTGTTGTTTTTATGTTAAATCAACAAGCACGTTCATATTTCTGCAGACATGAAATTTACAGAGTTATTAATAATAATTTGCCCCATCAGATATCTTTACTGTTTTTATTTTTTGTCACATTTGACAAGACACAAACATTTCAAAAATCGAACATTAATCCAAAAAAAATACAAAAAGCACCTTCAAATCTTGATTTATTTTATGAGGGGGAAAAAAATAAGCTTCCCGAACAAACAAGTCAACCAGCTTTCTATCCAAAATAATTGACATGTAAAATATAATTAAAACTGTCAGTAAAAACTATTCATTAACAATTTCAATTGTTTGTTTTTCAATAAACTAGTTGCACGCCTGAAGTTGTAGAAGGTCTACAAGATAATAAGCTATTTGTTTCGGTTTAAAGCAGCAATAAAACCCATTTTTAAATTGACGGCTCTTAACTTGAATGCCGATGCCCATTAGGCTGTAAAAAAAAATTAAAAAGTCTATAGACTGATTACACAATCATTGTCTACAAGTGACCTCAGACAGACAGGACTTAATTGGTTGTGTGAGTAAGGTCCAAACTGTGTGCAGGGAACTATCAAATACCTTAACCATATCTTGCTTATTCTTCTTGTTTCTAAAGCATTTTGGTTTACAAAACCAAACAAAGTTCAACAATGAAGTTGCAACAATGTTTTCAAAATTACAATGCAAGCAAAACCAAACCTGTCTATCTAGGCCTTTGGAGGCAATCCTCGGTCAAAATACCACTGTGGTTTGGTCCTTCCCTATAGATAGCCATTCAGTCTATAATCAGCATTGAAGAGGTACAACTATGCTGGTCAGTTAACCTGCCCTCTGCCATTTGCATTCACAGAAATTATCTTCGAGTCCAATGTGACTCAGGACATTTGGAAAGATTCAGGGAAATTCTACATAACTGCAGTCACATCCTGTTTTAGTGACCCTCTCAAAGGTTGCAGAGAATTCAGCCTTTCAGAAAACTCAACTACTGGTCGTTAGGAATTCAGCACATCAACTAAACCTGAATGTAGCTTCCACAGTAACATGATTCAGCCCAGCCCTGAAACTCTATTTCAAGGTTTAGATTATTTTTGTGTTCCCCTTAAGCCTTGTTTCATCACCGGATGCCAGGAGCCATCTGCGCTGACTGTAATGATTTTAAAATAAAGAAGCAGACACAACCGACGTTGCCGGCACAAGACAAAGGATCTGTGCGTAAAGCACGATCCTGGAGCATGCCCAGGGGACCGGTGGAAGGTATGAATCAGACCGTCCTTATAGACCTGCTAAATTTCAGATAAATCCATCAACAGAAATCCTTCTAAAATTATCTCCCTTTCAAGGCACCAAGATTGTTTTCTAAGAATTGCCTAAACGTCAACAAGCCCTTTGACCTGCAAGTGCCTTACGTCATATTGCACATATAGTATTTCTTTGACTTAGAGAGTTAATCCATACATTTCTGACTGCACTTTGGCCAGGACTCACACACATACAACATAGCAGATGTTTGACCTATTCACTGATGATGCAAGTAGTTTTTATTATTGTCTTTGCCCGGTACCTGTTATTGACGCTGGTCTTTGACTCTCTGTACCACAGGCTTATCTCCATCCCTCCAGAAATATCAATGGCTAAGCCTCCTTGAAACTCTGCACTCGCCTTCAGGCCTGACTGAAGCTGGATGACCTGCAGGACAACAAAAAGCATTTAAACCTCAGTGGTCTCTATTACATATAAATATTGAGATCGGCTCTGTAATATTATCAGAATAAAAAAGTCTTATATTAACATTAAATTAGATCTGTTTTCTTCATTCAAGCAGCATTTATTAATCCTTGCAAGGGAGAACATACAGTCTTTACCAAGGTTTCTGTATCTTCAGGTCAAACAGGATTTTCCAATCTACTTAGAACCACAGGGATGGATTCTCACAGACAAGTAGACAGTTTCCACAATCTGAAAGATTTTTGAAATAACCTTGACCTAAAAGAGTCTAGCTTCACACCAAAATGTCTAAAACTGAAAAACAGCTTCTGAGGAGTCAGTTAGAAAAGACGCACATCTAGCCTGGTCTAGCAGGTGCTCTAGAGTGAATACTTTTGTGTAGTAAAGGAAACAAAAGAAGCTCACAACAACAGTCATTAACTAGAGGCCTGACAGGAATAGAGTGTAAAATATGTTTTCCCATCACAGTATTATAAGTTTTTGATAGTTAAAGCATGAGAAGAGGAGCTACCAATGAATTCAACCTAGAGAGACTCACACAAAGAAAAGTTGCCATTAGAAAATATAACATTTATTTATAGCGGTAACACAATCAAAAGTCATCATCGTCCTCTTCCTCCCCTGAGCCAGGAGAAGCGAGTGCTTCAGGAGCTGGAGGCAGTAGTAGCAGCTCAACAACAACTGCTGCTTACCTTATCAAGGCTGCACTTAAAAAAATGAAATTATCTAGAGAGCTGTTTTAAACGAAATTTCGTTTTGTTTACACTTGTGTATACTAAATGATAAATCTGTCTAAGTCTAAAGTATTTCTATCCAAGAAAAAGCAGCTGATGGACTCTGCAATCCCTCACACTGTATATAGAGATGGCGGCGAGAAAAAAATAAATTTTAACAGGAAGAAACGTCCAGCGGAACCAGGCTCAGTGTTAGCGGCCATGTGCTGACAGAAGCAGATAAAGACATAAACAAAATTATGTGTTTGGCGCCCAGGCCCTGGCAAAAGATGATGCTGTGAATCAATATATGCTTGGATGAGTAACCTAAAAAAGGATTAGAATAGTCTTCCCCCCGGGGCCCAGACACTGATGGTGGAATAAGCCAGAGGGTGAGTGGGACTGAGAATGTGGATGGAGATTGGGTGAAGGTGGGCGAAAATTTGCTTGCGTGCGGGAGATAGAGGCTAGGCCAGGAGCTAAATGAAGGGGATCTTGCAAGATGAAACACGATGACTTTTGAAAAGGTGCGGCCCCCAAGTTGATTGGCTGGAGCTGAATGAGGGACATGACAGGTGGTTCAAGTGTAGCTGATAAGAGTATTCCAGATTGAATTTAAGCTTAATAGCCCTAACGATCCCTTTAAAAAATCAATTATTTGTCAAATTCACATGACTTTTTAGGATAAGAATTCCCAGAACAATGGCCTAAAACCAAACTTCTGGTGAAAAGCTGAGAAGAGTGATACACCCTCCTTATACCCAGTGGTTGTTTGGGAGTAATGCCAGAAAAGAAAAGCCTTCTGTGTCCTATTGTTCTATTGTAAAGCAGTGCAGTGGGATAATTTGGATATGTCATTATTTTTAGAATGCATTCCTAAAGAAATTAGTTGTAAAAAGTAAAAAAAAAAACATAAAAAAAAATAAATATGGGTCATTAAGGATCTTTCCATTTTATAATGATGCCAAACAAATGGGTAAATCAATGCAGAAATAATGCACTGGAGACAAAAGCGTTCTCCCTCCATGGAATCCCACTTTTCAAACCTGAATCCGATTGATAGCAGTAGGTAGGAACCAGTGTGATTCAGAGAGATTGTTTAAAGGAGAATGGAAAAATTCCCTGTCTGTATGCTCAAACTTTGCAGAGTAAGAACTGGGATTTTGTAGAAGGCTTTAACAGCAGCAATGTCAACACTTCTTTTATATGTGTCAGTTTATGTGAAAAAGTGGGATTAGGCCTACAAAGTAAATACGATGAAGATTTTTGGTTATGACACTGGAAATAAAGGCTGCCTTTTCCCCATACTTTCACCTGAGGTGTCAATATATGTGACCAGAACTAAGACATCACTATTTAACTTGGTGTGACTGACATTTGTCCAACTAGTGTTAACTGCATACATTTAATCCCTCTCTTTAGCAGGTGCTGTAACAGAAAGGGCACAGACATCCAAATGGATAAGCTCTCATACAGAAATAAGATAAGAATGGCTTCATCAACCCGTTAAAGCGACGGTATTCAGTCCTGAAGACACAGTTCCCTTAAATCCTAAAGCTGCTGGAGGCTTGACACAGACATACCAACACTGTGGTGAGAGAAGCTGGATATACCTTCACCATATCAGAAAATTAAAAGACTTTATGGTGCACATGCTAAGGATGGAGTATGAAAGCCTGTTCTGATCGTGCTTATTAAATCATATGCAACCACAGTCTAATTGAAACAGTTTGAAAGGAAATAATGACCCATACACAGGGTAAGTTGGTTTTCAATAAATATTTAGGAAAGATTTTAGACTTATAATGACAAAAACACTCCACTGTCAAGCCGTGTACCTCAGAGTGATCCGTGAGCAGGATGAGTCCCTTCACCACGTTCATGGGCTCCCCAGTCATGGAGAACATTTTGGACATGAGGTCACTGTAACCCTTGAAGAACGTGACTGGTCGCAGCTGAACATCGAACAGCAGGGCTGACATACCAGCAAATGACTCCAGGTCCTCCTCCCCCTCATCAGGAGTGGCAGCGATTAGAGTCTCCAGACCCTGAGCCTCAATCGCCACCTGAAAGACAAAAGGAATGGCATTACATTTAGTTCACAAAAAAGAAAACAACATAAAAAACTTGTGTTCTTGTGCAAGCACCTGCAGTCCATGTAGCATTGAACCTTGACTTGAACCATAAATGTTCATGTTGCTTCTGCGAAGGATCCCAGATCCTGAGTACAGAATGTCCAAACTGTACGTGGAAGTCACATCAGGGGATTCTGCGGGTTTAACAATAGGAATAACATAAAATATCCCATTATAATGTGTTAAAGTGGTGCCAATTCTGCCAGCTTTGATTTTCCAGAGCCGCTTTTCATCAGTTTGTGGCCTGTAGAAATCTTATCGCTGGTAAATGTACTGCCTTGCAAAACTAAAAAAAAAATTTTTTTAACTCTTTTCTCACATCATTTAAGTCATATTTTATATGGAATATTAAGACAAAAGTTGTAATTAATTATAGTTGAACCAGATACACAATTTCTTAAACTTTGTTAGAGCTTTTAATCTAAAAAAGCATGGAGTGTTCTTTTAACCTTTAATCTGGTACCTGGTTAATAAAAGCCAGCATCGCCATTAAGAAGGACAATGTTAGTGCTTACTGTGTTGGCTTATATATACAAATACATGCTGCTATAAAAAAAAAAAAGCCCAGGACTGAATTTTGTTTGTTTATAGTATAATATTATCAGTAAAATATTACAGTTAAAAAATAAAAATGGGGACACATGTAAGGGTTAAGGATAATATTGCACTGATCTGCATTCCAATTTTTCTAAATGAAAATCCCCCCCGCTACTTACGGGTCATGAATCCTGAGTATGAAGAGGAGGACCCAACTTTAGCGAAGCGATCATAGTTATGGGAAATCATGTCCTTCAAAGCTTGACGTATAGTTTTGCTGCAGAAATACATGAAATAAGTTCATGTTATAAGACTTTATAATGGTGTGTGTATTACAATTCTATGTATATTAGTTTATTTTTATGTCTGATGGATTTATTTCTCAATTTTGTTATTCTGGGATTACTGTAGGAAACACCTGGCAGGCATTTGGAAGCGGAGGATGTCCTGGATCTTCGACAGCATGTACTTGTTCATTTCATGTGGCAGGTCTCCGATGGACAGGAGTAGATTTTTTACCTCCATGTATGAGGGGTTGCTACTGAGAATCACGTCAGCAGCAGCAGCTCTCACATTCTTCTCATAGATCCGCCTGTTCTGGTGGTAAACCCTGTTCACTGTCTGTTTGACCTGGAAGTCAAATAAAGTTTAGGATTTGTCTGTCTACCTGCATATAGGAGTGATACTGTACATATTAAATGAGTTGGGATGTTTGGTGTGGTTTACCTCTGGGGTGATGAGGTGGACATCATATCGCTGCAGTGCGGTAAGGGCGATGGTGCTGTAAGATCCCACCTCTGACTCTGCAAACCTGGTGAGAATGGGAATTGCCTCAGGGAGCAAAGAGTTCTTCAGTGCCAGAAGGTACATCTGGACCTCAGACTCAACGTTTGTGCTTTCAGGACCCTCTAGAATCATGTTCTTCACCTGCACCACTGTCTGAAAGGGAAACATGTTCAAATTAATTTAATCTCCAAAGCATCTCTAAGATGAATCATACTGATGACTCACCGGTAAATCACAGCTTCCTTTCAGACACAACTTGTGCACCAGAGCTCCCATAATAATCACCACTGATTCTTTGATCTCTGTAGATCCAATCTTTCCTTTAGCAATGTTCTGTAAAGACACAGATCATTGTTGCATTTCAATTAAAAGTACAGCACATCTTTTAGCTTTTACCATAAACCTTCGATTGTTTCAGTTTTATTCATAATAAACTTTGATACTTTTTAATGGACTTCAATATGGTAGACCACAAATAAGATGGTATTTACAAAGAGGAAGAGAAAGAATATAAGATTTCAAATAAATTTGCTAATAACGTTATGAGAAAAAGGGGCAGAAATTCTATTCAGGGCCCTCTAAAATAAATGAAGAAAAATCAAGCATAAGAAAGTCCCATTAGAATTTATCTAACACATAATTACCCCCTATAGGTCATCTTATTAGTATAGTAAATTTTCTAATTAGTAATAAAAAGATAGAGCAAAAGCTAAACTCCTAAAATAAGCTTTAATATAAAATTGCATCAAGGCATTGTTAAAGCAAACCAGAAAAGAAAAACAAAAACAAAATGCACATTTGTCCTATTTAAAAAAAAAAAGAAAACATGCCCAGTAAACATATAGAAGGGCCGCTTTAGACATATGAGAACAAAATTTCATTTTATGCCACACTGAAAAAAAAATACACTAAATACACTGAAAACACCCACCTCACTGTAAAACATGGTGCTGGCTGCATTATGCTGTGGAGATGCTTTTATAGGGAAGCTGTTAGGAGTTATTAGGGGGATGTATGGACCTGATACAGTTCAATGTGCAACAAAAGGATGTTCAGTCATTTCTTTATTTGAAATATTTTAAATGAAAAATAACTTATTTGGTCTTCACATCACAGCCATTTACAACCCCAAGGCCGTCTGCAGAATTCAAATAAACAGAATATATTTTGTTTGGGGTTGTAACATAACAGAATTTTAGTAAAATCAACAGGATTCCTTTTTTTAATGAAGCTGATTAATTAATTCTATTAATGTTTAATACAACTAAAAATAAATTCTCTAATCCAAATTTAGGGAAAAGGGAGCATTAAGTGATAAAAGAAAACACCCTGAGGTTGATGTTTTCAGCTAATTCTTATTGCATTTTTCAAAACTAAACTGAATCCACAGTTTAATGTGACAACACATCAAGCGTACTGGTAAGTTTGCCAAACTTACCAGCAGAGCGGTGAGCATTTTCTCATTTGGATGTGAGGCAAAGCCACATGCATAGAGAAAACGCTCCTGCAGAACCAAACCCTTTGCATCTGTGAAATTCAGAAATTCCAGCATGGCGTCCAGAGATGCTGGCGTCTGGGAAGACGTCACTGCATCTACCACCTGAGGCCTGTCAGAGGAGGAAGGTAGTTAAAGCAACAAGCAATCTGGAAGAGCATCGAAATTGTGAATCATAAAAGAGTGAAATGATCAGCAAGCGTGAAAAAGCAGGGAAATCAAATCTATAAAAGGAAGGAGTATCTGGTTTACAGGGTGGTCTTGCTGGCACTTTTCAGCACTTTAAGGATCTCATCCTTGGACGCCTTCCTTATGCTCTGGATGAAGCCCAGGAAGCTGCGAGGAGCTGTGGCTTTGGACAGGCTCGCTGGCTCCAGCTGCTTCTGCACCACCTGCCAATGTTCGAAGAGCTGGGGAGGGGGCAGAGAAGGGTTAGAGGACATATCATCTTCAGTTAGCATTTCAAATATAAAAATACACTTTGATTAATAAAACAGTGCGATAAAAGTTATTTAGTCATCCAGACTTGTTCTCATAATCAACTAATGGAGAAAAGGGCAGGATTGGCATAGAATGAGAACCCTAATGTTTTGCACCGCTCTGTTGCCGTCAACATTTAAGCTAAGATATGTCTAGAAAAAGCTTTTTGAGGGGCTGCTAAAGGATATGTTTGTGTTATTTGCATATATTGTCTTTTCAATTGTGCTGACCTTTATTTCCATGCAAGAAGTTCATGAATATCTTTAATAAGCAGGAAAGTCAGGGAGCAAGTATCTCAAGGCTCCTAGTTTTTTTGGTTTTAAAACATGGTATCTTTCTTTAAAGGAAAATTTTGAAGTCTCTTATTCACAGAAGTCAAATAAAAGAACAAACAGGCAACACTACAGTACTTAAAAACCCAACATGAAACTCACAGTTGGACAGCCTTTGCACTGGGTTTTCAGCTTCTCAGGAACAATCCCAACAGCTGCCAGTTTGTCATCAATGGACTTAACAACCCCAGCAACATCTTTTCCAGCCATCTCCATTGGTCCAGCCTCTTTCCCAACCAGCAGCAGGGTTTGCCTGGGAAACACCAATTCGCTTATTTAACTTCCAGTCACACCACAACAGGACTGATCAGACACAATTTTTAGACAATTTTAAAGCTAACTAAAATTAGTTAACCTCTTGTTATATTACATCTGATTTCAAGTAGATCAATTGGAAAAACCCTATTACCTGGAAACAATTTTAGCAGCGGTGGAACGACGAGCGCTAACAGCCAGAGAGTGAGTTTCTTCAGCCACGGCAGATTTAATGAAACCATCTTCAAGTTTAAACACTGTAACAGAACTGGACTTCCTGCTGACACCCAACACCTGAATGAGACGAGAAATCAAAGAAAATAAACAAGCCGTAACCAACCAAGAATCAATTTTATAAGACAAAGAGTTGATCAGGATGCTGACTAACCGTACTATGAGTGGTGAATCCCGTCTCTGAAGTCTTACATGTCTCCAGGAATTTGGTTCTTGTAACTTGTCCTTCTGCTGCTTTATACTGAACTGTACATCTCCCGGACACATCATTCTATTTGGAGACATGGTTTGAGTTTGTTTACTGGCTAAAAAGCCTAAAGACAAAATGGTCATCTGTGATATAAGAACGGCAGTGCAATTCACCTCAACAACCTTCCCAGTATGGATCTGAAACTGCAACAAGCTGGTGATGCCTCTTTTTAGATTCCTGATGGTTGAAGGTTCTGACCAGTAGGAGTAGAATGCTTTTGTCTGCGTTGGATGTTTAAAAAGAAAGAGGCCAGTTAAAACATAAGATTATGCTTTGAAATAATAGAGTTAGTAAAACATTGGCCTATAAATAAATTAGCAGGTGAGCAAAGCAGCTTTTACTAAAGGCGTTAGGGGTGTCAGTTTCAATCGGTACGTTTTTGCTCACAAACACGTGCATAGCTATGAAATCTGACGTTAGTCACATTATACGTTATTCTCTGGAGTCTAGATCAAAACAGAGGCTGTACTACAGTATTAGTACCTGTAACTACTGTATGAGTCATTCTGAGTTAATTATGAAAGAAAGAAGGTCACTGCTGTACTACTAACAGAGGATAAGAATATGTATTAAAGAGTTATAAGTAACTTGAAAATGAAATTACTGTTCTTTTATTTACAATAATTTTCTGAGTCAGGCAAAAAAAAAAAGTGTAATTCAAGTATTAGTTATATAAAAAATATTTAATACATTTCCAGTCTACTAGACCCAAATCTACTAAATTGTACAAGTGGACCAAATGCTGTACAAAATGTTATTTGGCCTCAATCATATGCTGTACTTTAATAGAAATATGTTTTGTCTAGAGAGCAGGGACAGGGCTAGATGGGGGCCAGGTGTTGCCGTGACGACCCTTACTGCATCATTGGCCACCCCTACCAGTTGATCCTATATGAACATAATTCACAAGCAGTTCCCCTCTAAATCAGACTTGCTGGTAGCAATAATACCCTCAAGTGGAATATTCTAACAAATTATATATATATATATATATATATATATATATATATATATATATATATATATATATATATATATATATATATATATATATATAGTAATATTTAAGATGATGAATACAGTATGCATGTTTTTCAGAACTAGTACTTCTGCTTTGAACAGAAAATTGTATTTCTCTGCAGGTTATGTAGGAATATTCAATGTAATTAGAAATAAGTTAAGTTAATTGAGGTATTAGTATATGCCAATATTAATTATTTCTAAAAAGCATAGTGTTCAGTTTATCTCTGAAAAATCAAAGCTGAAATATACCTTTCATTCAGACAGCATTGATATATGTAAATATATGCCCTTATTTATTAGAAGTGGCTTCAGGAAAAACTAGCTTGTATTTATTTGGAAAATACAGATGTTTTTCTTATTCATTTTCCCCTTGGAACAGTATAGATTGACGCCTATCTGTTATCGGTCACCCCTAAATAAGGTTTCTGGCTACGCCACTGTTAGTGACTAAATTAAACATAAACATATAGTGAGTTCCTTAAAGTTCCTTTAGACTGAGTATATGTAGACTACAGCTCATCTTTTTTTCTTTTTTTTAAGTCACTGCAAACAGTGGTTCAGTTTAGCTCAGTGTTACACAGTGTCCCAGTCATGAATGCAGAAAGCAGCCAATTACATCACCCTTCAATCTTTCCTTTACAGTATGATATTTATTTTTGGTACTCGGCCACAAAATCAGATAGGACCTCCATAAATAGGCTGTCTGCTGCTACTGTGTGTTATTCCTCACCCTTCATGACACTGGTATAAATAATCCATCAACACCAGTGGAAAACTGTCTGTCTTCATTCACTGAAGAACAAAACTAAAATCTCCTTAAGAGCAAACATGTAAACCAGTTCTATACAATCTTTACTTTGGACAAGTAGAAGAGATGTCAGATTCTTTTATTAAATTATTATAAAGTGCCACAGTTTGGTGAAAGAACATGCTACTTGCTAGGTTGTAGGAAAGCTTTGCCTGATAATTTAATTGAAACTGATTTTCAAAGGTTTATAGGAGCTTACTGAGGACTATAAGCATTTTTCTAACCAGTATTTAGATAATAAATATGACAATATCCATCTTTAGTACCTTCAATAATGTTCATTTACTCTGGAGAACTCATTTTTATAGTAATACTCTGAGTAGAAGGAGAAGCAGAAGCCATCTGCAGCAAAGTTCAATGTACATCCTAAATGAAATTAGCTAATGACAGAAATTCAACTATTTTTCTTTTGTTAAAAGTGTGGGCATGTAAAAACTAATTAGTGTTTAGTCCTTCAAAAAGCTTCCAGTGAATTTAAAAGAAGATATATGCAGCTTAAAAATACTGATTTTTAAGCACAAGGCCATCTAGGTTGCTTTTAAAGGGAAAATAAAACAAAAATATAATCTCAACCTTAAAAGGTAAACTATTAAATCATACAGCAATCAAAGAGGACACGTGGATTCTTAGAAGTCAAATAAAATTATGGATCATGAAGGTCACTAAGACAATGCTCTTGAAAGAGGATGGGCATTGTTACAAAAAGCTTTAAAAATCTCACAAAAAGCTTTTTTCAGTTTAAAATGCATTCAGAGGAAGCACATAAATAAGGAGCTGTTCAGGGAAGGAGTATTTATAGGACACATTAGGACTTAGAGAGAGTGAAGATAACTTAAAGGCAGAAGTAAAGCAGTCTGTGTCACTTTAAGTTGTTTCTCATGGAAAATGTTAGATTTGGGCAACTAAAAGGAATCTGCAGATCTAGAAAAAAAACTGATCCAGAATCAATTAGATTGATTGTATTGATCAACGTATTCTAAGCTCAAATACTTTTCAAATCTTCTCCGCAGTAGATTCCCTTAATATTTGTATCAACTAGTTATCAGCGACACTGACAGCATCTCTACTAGTATTTCACTTCAGCCAGCTATTCTTTCATCCACCTACAGCGTATCTTTTACTCTGACTCATTCGGAAATTCAGACATTGATCTTTTGAACCAGTTGACCTTTGATAAACACACGCACAGGTTTCCTTTGCCAGCATCATCACTTTAACAGAGGGAGAAAAAAAAAATGTATAATGCTAATAAAAGTTGTGTTATATCTATAAACAAAAACTCCTGTACTGTAATGACAGATGCTATGAGTGTTGGTGCGTCACCTTTCCATTTTTCAGGTGCACCAGGAAAGGTTTTGTCAGAGCTGCAAGTTTAGATTTCCCCAAGATGCTTTCGGTTGTGGATCCATGAAGGATGTTGTTCTTCTCTGACCCCTGAGACGCCGGCTCAATCCTCACGTTAGAGATCTGTTTAAAGAGAGGAACCTCTTTTAGCAACATGAAAGCAAATCTCATTTATGTTTCACTTTGCTGCGTGGACATCTGATGGGCCATAAATGGTATTATTATTCTATCTTTTAAAAGGCATAATTGTAATATTTGCTCCACATACAGCTAACTGAATCAACTGGTCCTCCTTGTTGCTTGGATCTCTCCAAACTAGGTTAATGTTCACATCGCTTGAGATTCTGTAGCCGGCGCTGCCCTCCTTTGACCCCCGAGCCTTGTCCAGCAGGAGCTCAGTGGTGTAGCTGAATTTATACAGCTGGTTGTTATGGAGTCTTGGTCCAGCAGCAGCAGCAGCAGCATCACCTGAAAAAACAGGAAATGCAGCTTGAAAGAAATTCAAAATAAGTGGACGTTATATTGCAACTCCTAGCTTTACTCATTTCACTGTGGATATATTAGTTTGCAGTGTAACTAATTAAAGGAAAGTTGAGTCCTTTTTGTTCTTAGAAATTTATGCTCTTTAGCTACTAATGTTTTGAAATAGTTTTGATAGAAAAGGAGTAAATTCCAGGAGGAGAAAGAGACCAGTCTGACAAAACAGTAAGGTCATCTTCTACAACTTTTGAGAGGTTTAAAAAGCGGAACTAGTTAATTTAACTCAGAATTCAGGTTTTCAAAACTTTCACTCATAATAATCTTCCAAGTTTGGAAAAGAGAGTCAGTTGATTCAAATTCCTTCTTAATTTCCTCTTTTCAGATCATATATCAAACACTAGGCAAATAAATGTTTCTTAACTGGGTTACTTTCTCAGAATTAAGTTATATTTTTATGCATTTACTTGAGTTGGCTAACAGTCGAGCAATAAGCTCTAAGACTCATTGGATACTTTGCATTATCAGTGTAAAGATGGGACCATTGGAATGCCCTTAATAAATAAATAAAAACCCTATCAGCCAGTTCATTTTTGGAGAGGAAACCCAAATGTCATATTGATGCACTAGGCTTAGATGGAAAGTAATCGAATAATTTGAACATGTTTGTTCTCACAGTAAGTGATGTGAATGTTATGGAGGGGCTTGGTAAGAGAATCCTCTAAAGGAGATAAAGATAAGAGTGATGACAAGGAGCCTTTTCAACCTCAAAACATGGACTCATCACCAAAACTGAGCAGCATTATAAGAAGAGGATTTATTTGCACTAATATCAATGAAGATCTTTCTTGAGTATGGCATGTGTATTTATTTATGTTTTTGGAATTTTTTTGACAGGTTGTTTTTCCTCCAAAACTGTCATTCTTTTTTGCGTTTCTCTTTCAGAGGTTAAATCCTTTGTTCACTGAAAATTTAAAACATACTAATTCTGGGATTGGTTTCTAATCAGGCGTGTAATTTTAAGGGTCCTTATTATTTTTTTTCCTCTCACCTCTACTTTTTCTGAAGGGGACAAGGAGCTGAAGTGATTTAATCATTGAACTGGGTGTGTTTAGGTGAACGGAGATAGTAATCTTGTTTGCTCCATTAATGACAACCCTGCTGATAGATGTGACATTCAGCCATGAGGGAAGACACACTGACGTGTCACTTTTTGATTTCATCACCGGTTGCCTGAGCTCAGCTCAGTTACACCAAATAAATTTCAGGGTCAGTTTGTTGCATCAACTGCATGAATTGTTTTATGGATTTCAAAACTAAACCACAGTTTAGGGTAATATTCTACTTTTTGCTGTTTCCTTCCTTCTGCTTCTCAGTATTGCTCTCTCTGCTCTTCTCAGGGATGAAATCCTTCTCTATAGATGAGATGGTGATTACCAGAGAAGATTGTTCATTCCTTCATTCATTAACTTTACCCAAAATCCAGATTCAAAAATATAAAGCTCATAAAACTTAAATGATTTTCAGGATAGTTATAACAGCTTAGAAGTTCTCTACAGAAAAAGTGTAAAACATTCAAGACTAAAACTACAAACCAAATGTTTGGGTGGGTTGAAACAAAAAAAGAACCTTCATCTCACAAGCAATCTCCTTCAGGAGTCATTTAAAAAGCATCAGGCTTAAATTGCTGGCATCTGAACATCCCAACTACCCGTGAACTCACCTTTGGTGGAAGCTGTGACACAGGTGGCCGCGCAAATCCAAAACACAGCCCGAACCAACATTATGCGTCCTCCTCTCCCTGCAGCCAGGTGATCCAAACCCACACAGCAGCCCAGGTGGCTCCAAGAAAAAGGACCAAAAAAAGGCAGAGCGAGCCCAAACCTCTGGTGTTCTGCTTTATCTAAGGGGAGGGCAGACTCCAAACTCCACGCTCAAGTACTAAGTACGCGATAAGCAGCAGATGATTAACCCGAGCAGCAGAGATTTGACAGGAACTGCTGCTGCGATAGATGCGCATGGGTCATTTTTAATGATCCATTAATCAGCCAGGCCCGATCGCTTCATTTCACTTTAAGAGGCGACATTTTTAAGCTTTTGTGTACAAAACAAAATATTTTTGAAATCTAAAAATAGGATAAACAGCCTATAAATTGAGTTGGTAACTAAAGTTAGTAAAATATTTAAAAAATATATATGATAGGTGTTGCTTCTTCTTGATTATTTCAGGTTTCATAGCAGGCACCTTTTACCTCATTTAAAGTGGAGATCAACAGTCAGCACTGTGTCATGCTTCGTTTGCAGGAAGTGGGAAGTCCTGCTCTTCAGCTCATATTACAGCTTTCCAGGCTCTGAATTTCTGACTCCTCACTTTCTCCTTCTGAATGCAGACAAAACAGAAGTTATCGTCTTTGGACCAGAGTCTTTGGAAAAGAAGCTGATCAGTCAGTCACTTCATTTGGATGGGATTAAACTGATTTCAGAGAATAAAGTAAAAATAATTTGGTGTTATTTTTTTTATCAGAATCTATCATTTAAATCCCATATCAAAGAGGTCTTAGAAATATCCTGTCCAGGATTGATGCTTAGAAACTAGTCCATGCATTTGTTACTTCAAGGCTGGACTATTGTAATTCTTTGCTATCAGGAAGTCCACAAGCTGTAGTTAAAAGTCTTCAGCTGATCCAAAATGCTGCAGCCAGAGTTCTGATGAAAATTAAAAACAGAGAAAATTAAAAATAGAGATCTCTCCTATCCTGGCTTCTCTTCATTGGCTTCCTGTTAAATCAAGAATAGAATTTAAAATCCTCCTTCTGGCATATAAAGCCTTAAATGGCCAAGCTCCATTTATTATCAGAGATCTGATTGTTCCTTATGTTACTAACAGAACACTTCACCCTCAATCTGCAGTCTTTCCTAGAATTTCTAAAAAAAAAAAAAAAAAGAAAAAAAAAGAAAAGAAAATAGAATGGGAGTCAGATCTTTTAGTCTTAAAACTTTCCTTTTTGATAAAGCTTATAGTTGGGGCGCCTGAGGCTATTCTGAGCTATCTCTATAGTTATGCTGCTATAGGCTTAGACTTCTGGAGGACATAGGGACCCCCGTTTCATCATTTTGCTTAAGTCTATCTCTATTCTTCCACTCTGCAGAATCTGTCAGTTCAGTCTCTAACGTTATGCTCTCTCTGCTTTTCCTCAGAGTAGCTTTGCCTCATATGTTCCTGTTTGGCTGTGAAACCACCCTGGAGAGAAATATCAGCTGTCTTGCTGCCATCAACACCTTTGTTCATTGATGATGGAAATAGGCCTATTTTTCAGTGTAGTCCTGTTTTTCTGGCTGGATGTACCCTCTTCATCCTCTGGCATGGGAGCTGGCTCGGAGCTCGTCTGCCTGGCTGTGTGTTTCCTGGACGAAGCCTCCTTTTACAGCTGCTTTTTGTATCTCTGCTTCTGTCTCCTTGAACCCCAGTCGGCCTCGGCAGATGGCCGCTCACACTGAGCCTGGTTCTGCTGGAGGTTTCTTCCTGTTAAAAGGGAGTTTTTCCTCTCCACTGTCACTACAAGCATGCTTAGTGTGAGGGATCTGAGTCAATGAGTCGATCCTATCAACTGGTTTTCCTTAGATAGAAAACCCTGAATCAATTTGACTGCATGATCTGGCGAACTATATATCTCGGACATTTTGTATCATATGTTAAGATTATCAGTCACTTTTCGTGCTTTTGTTAGGGCCAGCTCAAAGTTGAATGAGGCCTAAATTACAATTATTTTTTGAAACCCTGTTCCCAAATGAAATTTGATGGCAAATAATCTATCCTGCAAATCAATTCTATGCCACCTTCAAGCATTCTAATATCAAATGTCTGCAAACAGATACAGAGAGAGTGAGTTATAGGAACTAGAATAATCTACTTTAGTAAGAGGAAAAAACTGCTTGGTTTAAAGCTTGCTCAGGTATTTAGAGTAATAAAAATAAGTAAAAATGAATCCCATAATTTCAAAATGACAAATTTTGGAAGAAAAAAAACATCTACCAATGTTTGATGCCTCAATAAATTACACTATATTCAGTCATTCAAACTCTAATGGTGGTACGCTACATTGTGGCAACAGCTGCCCTGCGGCAGACTAACAGAGCCAAGGATGCCATACCATCGGTTCCAGCGGGCCCTCTGACCAGCAGGACAGGATGAACCCATAACTCCTAAACCACCATCAGGATTTTACAGGTATACTGGTTAAATTAAGTCTTAACACAGTTCTACAAAAGCAGTAACACATAAGTCACCATGATGATTTATCATTTGCAGCTAGCCTGCTCCACACCAGGCTTAGTTATTCCCGGTGCCTTATCTATCAGCGGTCACTGTGATCAGAAATCAGTCTGTTTGTGTGTTTCTTATCTGAGTGTTGCTGTTTTTTTTATTAGTCTGAATTATAATACTGCTGATACATACTGCCACTCAGTCAAGGACTATCATTGTTTAACATTATCATGGCAGCCTATACCTTTATCAACTTAGTAATTATCTACGTGGAAAAGGTTCCTATTGCTGTGCCAAGGGGATCAGAGAAATGGCTGATAAAGAAGCAAAGGTTTTGTCAATAAAGTTAGCTCATAAAAATACCGTTGGGTCTCAAAATGAAGCCTTAGCGGCTGGCTAGCTTAAATGGTCAGTGATCTGACTAACACACAGGCAGCCCTGGGTTTGAATCCCCGCTGGGGGGAATGAGCTGCTCATGTGTGAGTCTTAAGGCAAGTCCCTTCACTCTAAGGCGTACTTTGTAATATGCTATGGATAAAACTGTCTGCAAAATACATAAACATAGAACTTGACCGTTGCACGGATGATATGTAATGGACTTAGTTCCCCTGCTAGTGGTCTGTTCCTGTATGCAGTTGGAGATGCTAGAAATATTTGTAAAGCCACTTTTTGCCACACCATCAGAAGTGTATATTTGGAATTAAAATAATAGATTTTCGTCACCTTTCCCGGCCACAGAAGAATGAACAACATCAAGTTTTACTTTTTAGTTGAGTAAAAAAATATGATAAATTATCATTCCTCTTACTCAAATATATAATCCTTGGTTACTCTACCCATCATTAGTTGCTCCACTCAGTGAAAAGTATTTTCTAAACCAGAGATACACACACCTACAGTTTATGTTTAAGCTAGGCTTTTATTTTGTACTCAAGCTTCATTTTCTTCATGTTATTTTCTATCTGCTAAGTGGAAATATAGTAACTTACCATATTCTAACCGATATACATAACAGTGTTAGTAGTACAAAAGTAGAGCCGCATTTGACTGTTAAAGTTTTGAGGTTTCTTTCATTTCTTTGTCAACTGTTTTATTTGCTTTACTACCTACTTCAATCATGTTTTTTTTTCTCTCTTTAGTTGCTTTTCTTCTGTTTTTCCTTGTCTTTTATGGTTTCATTTATGTAAGGTCTTTGAATTCTCTTTGTACTGAATTGTGCGATATAAATAAACTTCCCTCGCCTAAGTGTTGATTAAATGTTTTATAACAGCAAAATATATTTTGAAAAGTATTTTTCTTCATCCTAAAATTGTTATTGTGTAATTATTGTAGTTTATTTTCTTTTTTATATTCTTTAAAACACAAGAATTTGGATTTAACTTTGTATGTCATGTAACTTTGCATAATTAAAAAAAAAGAAAATCAGATGTTATGATCATTAGTAGTACAGTAAGTGCAGCAGTTAGCACATCAGTAGCCTTTTTACCAAATACATTTTTAGTTGTGAGTAATTTCTTGAATGGCTACTTTTTACTTTTATTTTAGTGAAAATATGACCAAGTAGTGCTACTCTTACAATGTTTGGGCGCCCTGCCCACTTCTGCTCATTTGTACATCATAGTCAACATTTTATCGAAATACCACCCGTGTGAAAAAGATTCCTGAATTTAATCTTGACCTGTTGCAGATCCTCTTTGATCCCGTCATGTTTGTTCTGTATAAATGATGAGATGTGTAGCACAAAGAATAACAAAATCACTCAACTGTCTGATGCACACTTCTTACAGAATTATCTTCCGATGTTCATTTCAAAGTTTAAAGTTGTTTATTTATAGCAAATAACAAACAGCTCTTTGAGTGGTATGATGGTGATGTTTTTTGGGGAATTGGTTAGGAAATGTATATTTCAGGCTGCTTATGCATTCAGTCAATCCATAGTCACCCTTTATAATGGCAGCATTGTTTCTTTTCTTGGTTATAATGTCCTTCACTTCCTCTCCTCCATCAAAAAATGTTGCTCACTTGATGTGACATACTTGAAACTTTTCCATTGTAGCATCACTGAATCTGTGATCGACCTCTTTTAAAGAAAGGTTTAGAGACACATTTACCTGGATTACTTAGGTCACCCCTCCTGAGCCTGGTTTGACCTTCAGCAATTAGGTATAGTTAGGATGCAATGATCATATTAGATTAAGCCTGCAGTGTAGCCAGAAAATGTATTTAAATAAGAGTTACATTACCTCACAGTAATATTACCTGAGTTGAAGTAAATATTATTATGCAGGAAAATTCCTCCAAGAAGTGCATTCACTCAATATTCAAAATAATTAAAATTTAAATTGCCTAAATTCACTAAGTGGAATACAATTAATAGATTATCTATACATAGATTGATGTTTTCAGGCTTGTATTCAGTAAATTATGAAGTATTTCTGTTTATAGTAAAATAAATCATGATATTTCAGATTAGAATTTTACAACAGACCAATAAAATGAAACAATCTTAATAGAGAAATGCAGGCTTAAAGAAAACTATGTCCTAATCCCTGATTGAACATTAATTTCAAAAGGTACTTTTAATCTGGCAAACCAGGCTTATTGGAGTGAATTCTAAACTATTATGACAGTATCTGCTTCTTTAAACTGTTCCTTTTCCAGTCCTTGTTTTCTAACTCATTGGCTCTCAAGCTTTGGGTCAAAATCCTGCTTGGGGTTCAGGCCTTGAGTTCCTCTACTGAAATTAAAATGAACAATAAAATAAAAAATATTGAAGCAGATTTATTCGATACTGATGGTAAACAGATGAAACTGTGACTTAGAAAAGGAGTAGATTAAATAAATACATTGCTTCACGATTTGGTTGTTTTTCTATTATACTCATGGTTAATTAATTTGAAGAAATGTGTTAAGTTTTAGGCTGAACATTTTGGGAACCTCTTCTATAGTCTATGAGCCATGGTTGGAAAACCATATCAATATCAAACTACAATAATATATTAAGAGATAATGGTTGTACAACACTACTGTACTGCATGTGTGCCACTACTGATCAAGTGGAAGGAATTACACTGATCAGCCAGCAGGTGTCAGTGTTTGTGTGTTTATCTTCCTCTCTCAGGGTTAGCAGTTTACAGATCTTCTAAATAGAGATAAACCCTTAAACAATCCTGATAAAAAACAGCCCAATATGATTTAATCAGTTAACTAACTAGTAGGGTTAGTTCTGACCAAAGCTAAACATCTGTGAGCTGCATCAATAGGTACTCAATCAAAGATTTTATAATGAATGTAATAGAGCATTAGAAGCAAAATGTGGAAAAATGTTGCTGAAGTTCAAGATCATAGAACCTGCAACCTGTTCAAATCCCTTTGCAGCACGGGTATGATGTTTCAGAATGGGATATGAATTCAAAATAGACATATACCAAAAACCAACCGAATGTATACTAAGTTATCACACCAGTATATTTATATGAATGCCAAGAACAAAAAAACATTATAAAAACACTTTACAAAAACAAAACATAATTTCAGGTACAGGTTTCAGGGCTGCCAATTTTTCACCAAACCTTGGGGTGAGATTTTGAAATAGTTTGGACAGGAAACCCTGTCAGGGTTAGATGAGGATAGGTGCAGCTATAGGTTGGAGATTTTCAGAGGATTTAACTGAAACTAGGCAGCAAAATTTAGATTTTTTTATAGCACAGTAAATGTTACTGAATAACAACAAGTGATCCGTAGTTATGTGGAATATTTTTCTCACATATACATATTATTTTCTATATTCTGGTGATTTTTAGAGAACTGAAGTAAAGAAGAATGGGCCCTACTAAAATACTTGCATCTTAGATATACTGTAAACTAAGAATGTCACAACTTTGTTTATCAATTATTCTCTGCAGTTGAAGTAAAATAAACAAAGGGGAACTAATAAGTTATTACTGAATTACTGGCACAAAACAGGAGCTATTGCAATGGAAACCTATGCAAACTACAGTGTGTATGAATATTATTTCTAGATGTTTCATTTGGAAAATGTGATTGAAATTAAGTTAACATATTCAATGGACCAAAATAAGGATAAAATAATAAGATAAGTAATAATAAAATGACAACATCCCTGTGGTTCTCCCTTTATTAATCCTGGATAACTGAGTTGTTCTGCACATCCTCTCTGGATGTGGTTGGTCTTTTATTTGGTGGCTGATCTTTTGAAAAATAAAATGCAGTGGTTCTTTTTCTTTTTGTGGAGCTTCTATGGGTTTGAGAGACAAACCAGAAAGTTTTAAGAATTAACATATTTGCGTTGGTTTAATTACTCCTAAATTCCAATGGGAAATTATTAAACTAGACTGAGCAATAATTATTTAACTTTTGAGCACAACATGGACTTAAAATGGGACTAAAAAGAAAACTATTTCAGGGGTGCTCAAGTCCAGTCCTCAAGAGCTACCATCCTGTAACTTTTAGATGCATCTCTTCTCTAGCACACCTGAATCGAAAGGCTCAATCCCCTCATTTAGCCCAGCAGAGGCATGGTAATGAGCCACTCATTTGATTCAGGTGTGTTAACAATGGGGTGCATCAAAACGTTGTAAGATAGTAGCTCTTGAGGATAGGACCTTTTCTAAAAAAATGCATTAAATCAGTCCTGCTTGTCTTTATCCATGTTGGGTCAGATCCTGTCGAAAAGAAGGCAGACATCCAAGGCAGCAGAATACAGCATTAGCCTCACTGCATGCAGTTAGCCAAGCCAAGTTTGATGTCCAGCTGATCAGGTCCAAACGATTTTACCTCCAGTTTCTCTTGGTAAGTTTGCTTCCCTCACACGACTCGGTCTGTCAATCACCCTCACTACAACTGTGAAAACAGTTCCTGTCACCTTAGGGTGCAGCTTTGGTGCGCCCAGAGATCTCCTATACATCTGTATTGCAGAGGCGATACTGCACATGTACAACTTTTAACAAGAGACAATAAGCAAAAATGTTTGCACCCTAGGGTGAAAATACATGTGTTTTGTTTTTTCTTTAAGGTGACTTCTGTCCCCTTATGTAAACTAGTTACAGTTTTTGACCTAGAGGGAGCAAATCTTTCATACCTCTCTGGACATGTTAAACTGATAATGATGTTTCCACAGTAAGACTGGCTCCAATAATTTTCAGGACAACATGCCTCAATAGGTGGGTAATGTATTAAGAAGTGAAAGTCAGAGCAATGGTGAAGTATGATTACATCAGATTGAAAATGTGGGCTGATATCAACCTTAGAAGTGGGAAAAAAGAAGAAAAAAAAAAACAGAAATCACAACAAGGCCCCCAGCCAAAGGTCAAAGCCTAAGTTCACAATCAATTCCCTGATGACACAACAAAACAGATAAGATTTGTTATATATCTGCACTGAAGTTTGTCTGTTTCAAAGAATTCTCTGCAGTTACATCATTCAATCAAGCTAAATAAAAAAATAAAAAATCCCTCTGTGCAATGTTGCACCATAGATCAACTTTCAGTCACACACACATATATATATATATATATATATATATATATATATATATATGATTATTTTTTTTTTTTTTCACAATTGGATGTGAAACAGCAGCATTTTCATTTTAATATACTAACTATATAATAAGCCACATACCAAATATGTGGAACTGGCTTTGATTCCATGACAACAAAAACAAATATGTAACCTATTGTTAGAACAACAGCATAACAACATTTGTTATTTTAAAAGCTAAATTAGAGCAGATGCTGCATTTCTATTTGTTTCTACGATGTTAGAGAACAATCAAACAGCATTGCGAAGACCAAGGAACAGGGAAGATGAATCGAGTAAGGAACATTAGGACACAGCTTTTGAACATCTTACGGAGGTCTAATCAATTCATTGTTAAGGCTTGCTGTTGTGCAACAGGATGCATACATGACTGCAAACCTACTATGATATGTCCATCCACCTACTGAGGTCAGGCCTAGAGGGAGATTGTTGCTCTAGGATCTGTAGATCTCAATAGCTCAGGTTGAAGAAACTATTGACAGGACGAATATTAGTAATTCACCACAGAAATCTGGCCTGAAATGAGGAGTTACTGCTGTTTCTATTCCATTTGCTGAAAGAAAACCATAAGTATTTTCATTATCCATTAAAATTTTAGGAAAATTGTGCTCTGGTCAGATGAGACCAAGTCTAACCTTTTTGCACTAAATGTAAAACAATATGCAAGGACAAAAGTTAATAGTGAATGCGGAGTCCACATACTGACACAAATTGGTATTGCGCTGTGGATATGCTCTTCTTTCAGCAAGACTAGAAAACTGTTCTGCGTGTAGGTGGAGGAGGAAGATGCGTATGTTACCAAACAGCCAGAGCTGCAATGGAAAGGTTTAAATCAAAGTATGTTTATGTGAGAAAATGGACAAAGACCAGACGAAAAATATATTTTGAACCTGTGGTAAAACTTGATGGTTTATGCTCACAGATGCTTTACATCAATCAGTCAGTCTGATTGAGCTAGAAATATTATATAATAAAATAAAAATATCAGTGTCTGAGAAATATGTAGCTTCTAGGAACTATGCATCTTTTTTCTTCCACTTGATACTAATTTGTTACTTTATACTGTTTTGCAATTTCCAATAAATTACTGGCTTTTTTGTTTTTAAGATATTATGTTTTTCAACTTTTTCAACATTATCAACTTCCTCTTTGCATTCCAATCCCCCACACATAACAAAGCTTAATAAAACAAAACAAAAAACTTACAAGAACACATTTATTCTGATCTCCATTCATATTTACATTTTTTACATTGTAAAGTCATTGTGAAAAAGAAAATACAGCCTCTTTCATGTTACGTTTGTACAGGAAATTGTCTAGCCCTTAAAGGGCCTTTGTTTTATAACTAGAAACTTACATTTATCCATTTTCCATCACACTTATCCCAAGAGGGGTCGCAAGGGGTGTTGGTCCCTATCTCCAGCTAGAAACTTACATCATTTGGTCTATTTCTGTTAGATCCTACAATTAAGTGAGGAAGTATTTGCTTTTTTACAAGAAGACTGTCAATATTTACCAGAAATAATGTAGGAAACAAAAGTAATAAGCACAGATTGTATGTAGAAACCATAAATATGGCACTAGGTGGTGAGAAATAGTATGACTAGCAAACACAGAAAATTATTTTATGAAAAATATATAAAACTATCTGTATGAGATCCAGTGAACTAAGAAAAAAAATGATTGAAACTAACTGAGGATGTTTCAGTTCAGCCCATAGTTTCAAAGCAGAGGGGAGATTTCAGAGAATCCTGCTGATTGAGCATGAAATGACTTGGCCATGTAAACAGAAACAACTGTTTCCTGGCGCTGCTTAATTTCTATGCTCCCATCAACAAAAGCTGCTGGTTGGAAAAGCTGGAAAGCTTTGAGAACTTTTCCAGCACCGCATGTTTAGTGGGCTGCAAATTGAATCTACGTGCTGTTTACTCAGTAAAGTGCCATGTTGTTAACTGGCGCTGCATAAATAAACAGTATAAAATTGAATTGCCACTGAGAAGAACCAGCATGAAGTTAATTATGGCACTTCAGAAATGGCTTTAAAAGATACAGGCTGACACTGCTTATATCCAAGGGTAATATTATTCCAAGATTTATATTTGATTTCATCAAAGGTCACATGTGATTATTTAGATTTAAGGAGAATAAAAGTTACAAAGATGATGTGCAACTGTTTTCATGTTATTTCTTCCAAATTAAAACCAGATAAACAAAATCAAAAACATTACATATCTAATGATGATTAAAGTGCTTCAGGCTGAGCTTGGATTACACGTTGCATCAGTGCATTTGGACCTTCTTCTGTCATTGATAAACTTTATAAACTGCATAAACCCTCCAGAATCCACGACATAATACTGTGATCACCCAGAAAAATTCACTAAAGTCTCAGTAGTTAAGAGTCAGCTTGATTACAATAATCCAATAAACTTTAAAATACTAAATCAAATACGTTTAAACGAGCCAATGTCCCCTTCAGAAGGGAAAGGGCATGCAGTGCATTTCAAGAACTTTTATTTTGCACAGCTCCTTCATGCAGCTGTTAAAAGCTGCAGCTGTGAAAAATGCTTTTAAACCTCCCTTTAAATCCTGCGTGAATACATCGTCTCCCTCTTGAACTCCTCCATGCAGTCTCTTTACCTCCAGAGGTATGCTTGTGTGGGGATGAATTGGACTTAATGCTGCTCTGCATGAGAGCTTCCAATAGATTTCAGAAGTTTAACCTCAGTTCTTAATTTACTATTTACACAGTAATGAAATTAAAAGAAGTGGGGTTTTGGATTAAACATGCTTATCTCCTGGCTGCCGGCGTCCAAATTTTCATCCTGTAAAGAGAAACAAAGAAAACAAAATGAATACATTATGGATGGGAGGGGAAAATAACATTCATTTAATATGTTGTTGTTTACCTGATGCATCATTCCTGCCATTTGTAGCTCTTAGGTGAACAAACTGCACATAAACAGAGGACAGGTTTAATAAAAATAATCTTTTTTAATATTTTAGAGTTTTAAATTTGAAAAGTTGTACATGGTTTTATACATTTTTCTATGGGGAGGCATGTCTGTCATGTTGCATTTGGAAAATCTAAATATTTTCCTCACTGTTTCTCAACTGCTCATTCAAGATCAGTCAGACCCGATGAAGAACGTCAACAAATGTCACTTTTCAAATCTACCCAAAATAAGGAGCTAGAATGGTTGTCCTGGTTCTAGTCTAAGGGGCTTTCTTCCAGGATTGCCCTGGATTTACCTCAATCTAAACCTCCCAGTCTGCATAAAGTAGACACTGTGAAAATCAGATGCTGATGCAAAAGGTCAACTCAGCAAGAAATGTGGTTTTAATTCAGGAAACTATGATATCTTGATTGAGGTCTGCATTTTATTTTAAGCTGCTTCTTAACAGACCCAAAAGTTGTTTCCACCACTAAATGTTATTAATCTTCAAACACATGTGTTTGTGCTTTAAGTTTTATGCATTCTGATTAAACAAAACACATATTTTGGGGGATATTTAAAACTATATTGCACATATAAACACAAAAAAATGCTGCCCCCCAAATTCTGTTTCTGGATTGAGGTGCAAAGGCAGAAGTTTAGTGTGAAATACTTAAAGCATGCCTTATGTCGGTTCCCCCCAGGCCTTAAAAACAGCAATTTATAAAACCATTGCTTAAAAAAGAGAAGCTGGGACAAATTGGCCTGCAGAACTACAGGCCCATCTCAAAGCCCCTCTTCATCAGTAAAATTATTGAAACTGTTGTTTCAACAGTTAAATGCCTTCTTAACAATGACAACCTGCTTTGATGTCTTCCAGTCAGGTTTCCATGCCAACCAGAGCACAGAGACTGCCCTGTTTCATGTGTTCAATGACACCCATATAAATTCAGACTCTGGAAGAACTACAGTGCTGGTATTGTTGGACCTCAGTGCAGCGTTTGATGGTGTTGATAACTCGATTTTATAAGAGCGTATGGAAAAATGGGTTGGCCTTTCTGGTACAGCAATGGACTGGTTTAAACCCTACCTGGATTGGGACTTATTTGTGTCTGTAGGAAACTTGAAATCAGAGACCAGAAAAATCACGTTAGGTTCCGCAAGCTCTTTCTGGGGCCCGTCCTATTTAACAACTACATGCTCTCCTTAGCTCAGATTATTATTAGCACTTTGAGATTTCTTTGAAATGTAAGGTGCGTTACAAATAAAATCTATTATAGAGAACAACGATGCATGCGACATAGTCTTACATTACAATGGGCCGGATCTATCAAAGGTTTGCGTGTATTAAAACGGATCTATCAACAGCGTGCTAAAAGGATTTGGTCTTTAAAACGTGCTAAATAGCGCCTCTTATCCATTTAGTACTTTTTCTGCAATGAATATGCAATATGGGGCGTTTACACGCAAAAGTGCGTCTTGTGGGAGGAGAACATGTAAATATATTAATTTAGCACTCGCAAAGTGATTTATCAAACCTGAAAGCAATTTTGCTAACGGTATCTGACTCTATATTTAACACGTTTCAAAAGAAGGTGCAAATGGTCTGTATGCGTAATTGCGCACACATGGCAGCGGTTATTGTCGCAAGAAGGAGACATGGAAATGAAGCAAGGCGACGCAGAGAACGCATTTTTTCACTCCGTGTGAATATTTTTGCAATGAAGGAGGAAACGATCATCAAAACATATCGTTTATCCAGCATTGCCATTTTGGAGCTGTTGGGGGAACTCCGAATGGATTTGGAGCCAGGCACAAGGAGGACCCACGCAATACAAGATATCACAAAACTCCTTGCAACGTTGCACTTTTTTGCATCTGGGATCTCCCAATCTCGTTTTTCAGAAGTGCTATACAACGTTCTAAATGCCATGTCGCCCTGACTACCGGAGAACCCCGACCTCTGCGCCTGTGGAGCAACATGCCAATGCTGCGGGGATGAATAAGCGCAATAATCTCATCCACAGTCACTTCTTGTGAGCCATTTGGTATGTGCATTTTTCTACAGGCCAATGTTTTTTTTTTACTACAGTGAAGTAGAAATTCAGCCACATACCACCTTAGGGATTAAAGGCTGCCAAAGTTTATATATATAATTTTTTGGAGGGGGTGGGGGTGTCACTGTAAGATTAAAATTTCTTAATGCACTAGTTTGCACAAACTACAAATTACTTTGCCGCAAACCACAAAACGCGCAAAACCATCATTTAAATAGGGCGTCTCCAACAGTTTTGCACCTGCCACCAGTTACGCAATCACTCTTGTTAAATCACCCGCAAACCATGGTTCAGCCCCTCGCGCAAAATTGCAGTTTGCGAGCGCAAATTACTGGACGCAAAATTGGATCTTGATAAATCCGGCCCAATGTCACCAGGTGACTATGAACCCATCAAAGCGCTGGCTAGATGCTTAAAACATATCAATATGTGGATGCACCGTAACTTTTTCCAACTGAATACAAACAATACTGAGGTTATCATTTCCAGACCAAATGAGGAGAGATCCAGAGTTAGCACTCAGCTTCAGCTACTACAGCTAGAAACCACTGATTATGGCTGGAATCTTGGTGTCATGATGGACTCAGACCTGAACCTTCAAAGGCACGTAAAGGCAGCCTTTTATCACCTGAAGAACATTTTCACGATTAAAGGACTAATGTCAAAGCAGGATCTTGAAAAACTAATTCATGCATGTGTCTTTAGCAGAATTGTTTACTGCAACTGTGTCTTCATAGGTTCACCTAAAAGGTTCATCAGACAGCTGCAGGTGATCCTACATGCTGCTGCATGTGTTCTTACAAGAACTAAGAAAGTAGAGCATGTCAGCCTGTTTCTGAACTAGAATCAAACATTGAGAAACAGCATTTAGTTTCTATGTTCCACTTATCTGGAACAAACATCCATAAGACTGTAAAAGTGCTAAAAGCCTGGTTTCTTTTAAGTCAAAGTTAAACACCCATTTGTTTAGAGCTGCCTTTGACTGTTGAAGTTAAGCTGTTAACTGAGGTATTATTAGTTTAAGGTTTTTGTCCGACTGTTTCTATTTGCTTTACTACCTGCTTTTATTGGACTTTCATCATCTTTTGCTTTTATTGTATTGTCTAATGCATGTAAAGCCCCTTTAATTGTCATTGTACTAAATTGCGCTATATAAATAAACTTGCCTTGCCTAAAGCATTGCGTCCCAAAATTGTTTTTGTTTATTTGGCTAATATTAAACTCCGAACTTAAAAGCTTTCTTCTTGGCCGTCTACCATAAGGTCCAGATTTGTAGAAGCTACAACTCCTAGTTCTCCCACCTGAGCTACACTATAGATCCCTGCAGCCCCTCTTCCCCAATATGTCAGTTTAAGTGGTTGGCCTTTTCTTTGCTGGTTTTACTCATGATGCAAATGTTTTAAGTTTTATGATGGAATGAACAGTGCTCTATTTGAACATCAAGGGTTAAAAACCATTTCTTCATGACAGTCTCCTAATACAAACAACTTCCTCTCTGACCTGTCTGTTGTGTTTCATGGTCTTAGTCCACTCAGAAATATTTAACCCATATTTGAAGATTTATGAAATTTAATTACTTCACAAATTCCCATTTACTCTCTTTTTAGATGATTTTAACACTCACCTATTAAATAAACCTTACACAATCCATATTCATCAGTGTAATGAACCTTATTTATTTAAAATGTATAATCTAACTTTAATGTATTCAAAAATAATAAAGTATACATGCTAAAAATTAATACTAGAGGATTTATTTTAATGAATGAAGGAAGATTTATTTAATAATTTTGTCTTAAAATTATTAGAAAAAGTAAATGGGTAACTGTTATGTAATAAAATGGCAGAAATTTTAAAATTTGGGTGAAATATTTTTGTGAGCGTGACACTTAATAATTTTCCCTGAGGGTTTAATTCAATGGATGCATTTATGTGTCTAATTTAGGAATAATAATTTGACTTCTGAAGGGTCTGGAAATTATTTATTAGCAGCAAAGCAGGAGATGGATGAATAGGAACACCATGACAAAGTTTCTTCCACTTTACAGTTATGCACAACTGAATCACCAATAGGGTTGTCAAAAGTATCGAGACTCAAAAAAGTATCAATACCAAAATGTTGTATCCGGATACAATACTCGTTTTTAAAAGTATCGATACAGTGCTACAGTGCTTTGTTTCTTAACCAGTTTGGCTAGTGTCATTGTTATGTGTGCAAAGCATAGTTTTTTATCAAGCTTTCTTAATATTGTGCACAGCAAACAACCTCAAAATATTGTTCTTATTGTTTATTGTATTTATTTATTGTATTTTATTTATTAATGAAAATATTTCTGTAGAATTTTGGAGTCTTTGTTTTTATCCTTGTGGTATTGAAAATGATATCGAGTATTTTCCTTAGTATCGGTATGGAGTTGAAAAGTTTAGTATCGTGACAACCCTAATCACCAAATGTATCCTTTATCATTTTATGATAGTAGAAAAAAATATATTCATTAAGAAGATTTTATTAATTTGATGTTAGACGCCTCAGATAAATAAACAAAACTATTTAAGACATAGATAAATAAAGCTCCAAACCTAGTATTGAACACCTGGATGTGTTTCAGAGGATTATTATTTATGAAATTTCAGACCTGGCATAAACCCTGTAAGTATTACCCACTCCTCAAAATGGAAAAAAAAAACTAGTGGATGCAATAGTCAAGAAATAGCTATTTCAATGTATCCAGTCTACCTACACCAGAAGCAGATATTATGTAAATGTCATCATCTTTATCTGTCCAATAAAAAGTCATGGATTGTATCACAGGCTGCTCAGTGACACAGTGGGTAGCACTGCTGCCTTGCAGCAAGAATGTTTGGGGTTCGATTCCCACCCCGGGGTCTTTCTACATGGAGTTTTGATGTTCTCCCTCTGCATGCTGGGGTTCTCTCCGGGTACTCTGGCTTCTTCATCAGTCCAAAAACACGAATGTTAGGTAAATTGGCTTCTCTAAATTTTCCTTAGTAAATGGTTGTTTTTCCTGTTTGACTCTGTGTTGCCCTGCGATAGACTGGCGACCTGTCCAGGTAGACCCTGCCTCTCGCCTATTGACAGCTGGAGATAAGCAACAGCACCCCCCCACGACCCCAGCAGGGATAAGATGGATGGATCGTATCAGAATCAACCAACAAAACTTGATGAGAACCCTTGTTAATAATGAGAAGAGTCCTACAGCAGGCAACAGTATCACAAAAGTTCATCAATAGAGAAAACAGGTCAAGCTTTTATGAGTTTGTGCCAATCTAATAAAAGGTAGATTATTGCAGATATTTACCAGGGCTGACATTGATTGAGGGGGACTATAGATTTAACTAAAGCTCCCATCCCATGTTTCTTAAATTAGCTATAGTCACTTACCAGCTCTCTCTCACAGCTTCAATGTCACTCACAAGATTCTGTGCCAAACAGATCCCAAATATCTAAAATAAAAAAACACAAACAGATACCATTAGAATGGTTTTAAACACAGAAAACATCACATGTGAATTGGTCTGATTACTCACTCCCCCTACCTGAAGTAATGCTATTCCGATAAAGATGCCCGCCACTACGGTCAGGTTGTCTTGAAGCCATTTCTCAAACTGTGGAACACAGCCTTTGATGTAAATAAAGTTTCTCTGCTCAGAATCCTAAAAGAAAAGAAAAATCATTAGTTATATTTGAAGCTAAAAGCACATCAGATACTTAAGTTTTTTATTTTAAAATACCACTACTGTTGTTTTTTGGGGATTTTCTAAATCCTTCACTGTTCAGTTTCCTTTGATTGAATAATATGGCTTTATTTTGATCTTAAGTTGTGAAATCCCTCTAATGTCCCTCACTTGTTAACAACTAAGCTCAGTTTTCCCTGAACTGGATCTTGTTAAAACTGCCCTACTGCAGCTAACATCCAAAGGCAAGAAAACAAACAGAGCTGTTTCCTTACATGTTGCTGCTATGGAAAACAGCCAAAGCTAATGATGAGGTGGGGGAGGTGGGAGGGTGTTCAATTCGCATTGCATTGCTGCCGAGTGAGTAATACCACACAACGCCCTTACAACTGATGGAGAGCCAGCTGCTGCATTCAGCAAACCAAGGAGCTGGGAAGGGTAATGAAAGAGGATTATTGTGACCAGGGTGGAGCTCAGGCAGCCAGCAGCCAAAGAACCAAGAGCTGTTCTGCTTTTTACACTTTTACTCCCACTTTTAACTCCTTAATGAAGATCTCAGCATAACTTATATACTTTAGCCCAAATAGTACTCATTGCAGATTTATATTTAATATTGATTTGAATCAGACCAAGAAGCTGCATTTAGGTTTGACAGCAACAAAACCTCTTATAATTGCTGATCAGTTTTATGCATGTTTCCACTTGATGAGCTCTAAGTCTTTAGGGTTAGATGGCCTCTTTGCGATCCCCCTGATCTTTAGTTTCCTCCTGAGTTCTTAATCAGAGTCAAATAGGGACTCTGGCTTGATCTCTTAAAAAAGGAACTGTTAGAACTAGTTAGAGACGTCTGTTGGAATAAAAATATCTCAGAAAATGTAAATCTGCCAGGGTTAAGGATCAGTTGGAGCGTAATCATAGAACAGAGTTTGTCTTTAAAACTTACTGTCTTTGCACGGATGTCGTATCCACACTGAGTGTTAATCACATCCTCCTGGGGGAAAAAAAAAAAGTGGTTCAAATATTAGCTGAATGAATCATACTGCTGCAGTTTGCATGGAAATGGAGAACAATTTGAGTGAGGCCCATATTTTCTTTGTGAAGTTATTTTTTTCAATTATCCTTTGTGTTTAACCGATCCCTCAGGAAGCACAGGGCTACTGCAATGAGTTATTCTACGTTCACACCGCATCCGATTGAAGCAGCAGAAGCAGCTGGTTTGCATGCAAAGTCTATGGTTGACGCGCATCAAGGATCAACAAATGGTCCTGCAGTGTATCTAGAGCAGCAGGAGAGGCGTATCTTGATGCATCTGTGCAGCTGAAGCAGCGCCTCATGAGCGTCTGAGGCACGTGACACGGACAGGCAGCAGCTGCTGGAGTTGGAAAAACTGAACTTTTTCTGCTTGATGGGCCACATTAACCAATCAGAGAAGCTGAAATGGGAGCTGGCAGGGAGACGGACATAGTGCTGCTGATGTAGATCCCTATGACCATTCCTCTGAAATTGCTTATTAACGCCTGAGGCAGCAGGTGCTTTTTTGCTGCCTAAAGCACGTCCGGTGTGAACCTTAAGGTAAGTTGGAAGTCTGAGTTTGTAACCAGCAATCTTTGCAGGACACAAACTCCAACAACAGGGTCAACACCCCCCTTTTTATTTTTACATATACGTAAATTAAGGGGGAAAAGGTAAAAACACACATAGGCTACATTCACACTGCAGGCCTTGATGCTCAATTCCGATTTTTTTGCGAAATCCAATTTTTTTAAGTTGCTGTTCACATTTCCAAATATATGCGACTTGTATGTGATCTCCTGTGTGAACTGCAGTCATACAATGCAAGTGTCCCGCATGCGCAGTAGAAGACGCAATGACGTCACAGGCTAGCGTGCTCTTTTTTTCCGGAAGTAAACATGGCGCGCATCTAGCGATCCTTTGCAATCATAAAAACACCAGCTGTATGTCGAACCATAAAAACACAATCTTTTCAATACGGTTAAACATCAATACTGCTCTCCGCAACATCATCTGCCATGGTTGTTGTTTTTCTTGCCGCTTCTGAGTAGCAAGACACAGAATAGTGACCTTTGTCGGGTATTAATGACGTTCAGGTCGGATGAATCTGACCTGGCCGTTCACACACAGGTCGCATTTGAAAAGATCCGATTTGTATCGGATTCAGGACCACATAGCCAAGTGGCCTGGGTCGCATTGGAAAAATCGGATATGTATTGCTCAGACTGCCATGAAAGGATCAGATCCAGGTCGCATATGGGCAAAATAAATCGGATTTGGGTCACTTCAGGCTGCAGTGTGAACGTAGCCGTAATCAAAAGTGTACGAAAGCCCTTAAAAAGATTTGTAGATTGTAGATTCTTCTGCATATCAGTAACCGTACAGGTTTCTAGTCAGGCATGACCTGTTATTAGAGGAATAGATTTTGCTTTCGGATTTTAAGTTTGAGTCATTATAAAACAAAAAGCATTTTCAAAATGTTAGATCCATACCTCTAGCATATCCCTATCCACAAAGCTGATATGCATTAAGATTTTGGTTTTCTTTACAGGAAAATTATACAAACTAAATTCTTTGCTTAAAAGAGATCTCTCCACATATGTGACTTTATAAACATGCACATTGCTGCTTTTATACTTTTATTTAAAAAGTTGACATTAGATCTTCACTTAAATGAAAAAAAAATAAATAAATCAAGAACCTTAAAAAGATCCACTCAATCAGACTAGAACACAATTTCCTAAAAAAACGTCAATGTAGATTTCTACATCCATTACTTCTGATTGATGTGCTTTTGGCCTTTTGATTGATCACTTTTCTGTAAAGCTAAAAAATGATGGAAGCTAGTCCATTTTTATACCGTCAAGGGCTGCAACAAATAATTACTTTGCCAGTTGATTGATCTTTTTTTTTATTACTCAATTAATCGGATAGCAAACGTTCCTTAAAGAGGATTTATTACGGAATTAAACCAGATGAAACTAAAACATCCACTTGAGGAGTTCTGGATAGAGTGGGATAAGTGGGTTGCTCTGTCAGTTTAAGACATGTTTTATTCGCTATACTCTAGTTAACATTTTATTGATTACCAAATTAGTTGATAGATGAATCATGATAAATGCGATTAATTGTTTCAACTCTAATAATGTCATAGTTGTTTTAGAGAATTAAACAAAAACATCAATCAAAGGCTCAAATATTAATCACAACACATGATCACCTGGTCTTTATCTGAATAAATGTGACTGAAAATGTGCATTGGTGGCTGGTGAATCCAGCCACCAGTACACATATTACTGAGGAAAACTTGTTGAAAGATTTAACTATTTTAATCTAACATCAATATTATTAGAACAGCATGTAATCAGGTATGAAAGAAACAGCGGCTTTCATTACAGGGTGTTTTGCTGCAGCATTTTGCAGTGCTCATTGAGTAGCTGTAGGAGTATTTTTCTGTCCAAAAGTAAAAAATAACTCCCTGCTGAATGTCTCCTCCCTCCGGCTTTAACTGCGAACTAAGTGCTGACGCCTTGACATCCGTTTTGGAAGCTCGCCATGACAGTTGACGTTGTCAGACAGCCTTGCAGTAAAAGGACAAAGCTTTCTACAGCAAAGAAGACTTTCACAATGTAGCCTTCACTGTTGTTTCAAAGTATCCTGCTAAACGCTTACAAGAATAATACGTTTTCACTTAATGCTTTGTCCCACAAATGAGATTTAAATGATTATGAAAAATAGACATACAGCTGGATCTTTGGTGCAACAGGAAAAAGGCACTCCACATTTCTCCCGACTCGGGTTGAAATCGGTGCAGTTGAAGTATATGTTCATATTCCAGTCGTCGGCTCCAAAAGCTCCACAGCACTCCCACTGCAAGGTCAGAGAGACACAAAGGCAGCTGGAGATTTAAGCCAAAAAGTCCCACAGAGGTGAGAAACCCAGGGTTAAACAATGTCAGGGTGAAATTAGAGAAGTGATTACAGAAGGTGACTGCTCACATATTCTTGTGTGAAATCAATCAGGTTTTGAAGATCAATGTCGTCTCTGTAAGCTCGGATGTTGTTATTAATGAAAAAATTAAGCTGGTTCTTTATCCAGTCCTTGAAGACAAATGCCAAGACTCCTGCAGTCAGTTCCAGAAAGAAGATGATACCCAGGAACACGGAGAACTACAAAAGAAGAAAAACATTCATACTTTAAGATAAGAAAAAAAGTAAAGGAAAAGTGGCGAGAAAACTTAAAAAAAAAAAAAAAAAGTCTATTGTCGACATACAAACTTAAGAAGAAAAGAGTTCTCTCGGAGCGCTCCGATGCAGCCGGCAAACCCGAGAATGAACATCACTCCCCCGACCACAAGAAAGAGCCAGACTGGGTCAAAACCCCCCAGATCCGTGATGGATGAGATGTTGGAGAGAACGCCCTGGTCAGGAAGCACAAAAATTCATTTGCAAACATTCATAATTTGCTTTCAGCAGCAATTTTGCTGTTTCAAAGCAAAACCCTCTACAAAACATACTATGTTTTGTAGAGGGTGTGTGACTTCTACTGAAGCATAATTTGTAAAATATCAGCAACATTAAGTTTATTTGGTTTATGTACATTTGTTCAGCTGAGAATGAATATCTTAAAGTAAATTCAGGATCAATAAAATTAATTATACTAATTTAACTGCTTACTTAATTTATAAACTTATTAAGCTAATGTTAGACGATGGTATTGGCATGTAATGTTAGTAATGTTAGTTTTTAGACATACAGCAGTTCACTATCAGTAGTTGAAATGAACTTGTATTATAAATTATATATGTAATGTTTGCTAAAATAATTTAACGCAGGGTATTTAAAATAATCTTTAGTAATGTTTGTTTATACGAACTGGAAATGTCTGCTAATGTTGGCATGATGATATGCAGAGCCTGGCCTGTTAATGCCGTCTCTTATCAACCATAATTATTTTATTGCAGATTAATAAATTGTTTTAGGGGTTTTGTTACAGATTTAGCACTTCATAATTACACTTTCCGACACACAAACCCCTTTAATACAAAGTGTTGATCTGAAGGTTTTATGTGAATTATTTTCATTGTGTGTCCTTTTTTTACTTCTTGAACATTATTTATCAATCTTAGCATTTAACCATTAGATTACATTATGGAGTTTGTGCTTTAAAAAAAAAAAAAAGCCCTGAAAAAAATCTACAGCAGAGGAAGATTGGGTAAATATCCTGCCTTTGAGCAGAAGAAAAATTTACATATGATTTTTTTTTTTTTTTTTTTTTTTTAGCAATTCTAGAGAAATTAGGTTTGGGGAATTAAAATGCTATGCATATATCAGGCTATGATATTGGGGGAAATTTTATTTGATTCAGCTAAAAAAAAAGGTACTCAAGGATTCAGCTAATTATCCTTCACTTCACACAATACCAGGATTTTGAGTAAAAATAAAACAAGTGAAAATAGCTGAGGGCTCAGAGTCCATATGTACCGGTAACATTAGTACAAGACAATGAATCAATCTGTAAAAGGAATCGGATCAGATCCTCTTATTGTTCTTCAGGATGTCTCACAGGAAAACATGACATTCCTTCCTGATTCTGTAAAGCCATTCTGACATTCCACCAGGAGAGCAATTAAAGAAAAATGACCTGCTGATTATTCACAGATGTTGCTGAGCGTAAGGAGCCGTAAAGTTAAATACTGCAATTTCTACATCCTAAATATGTAAAAGACCCACCTTTTCACTCCATGCCCATAAGCCGATGCCAAGGAAGCCTACTCCGAGGAACTGAAAGAGAGGAATGAACAGAGGGAAGGGAGGTTATTTAGTGAGGCATCTTTAGATGGATGGATGGATGGATGGATGGATGGATGGATGGATGGATGGATGGATGGATGGATGGATGGATGGATGGATGGATGGATGGATGGATGGATGGATGGATGGATGTTCCTCATAACAAAACTTATATCTGCTAAATATTTGTATCTTATTTATAATAAGTTATATCTTATATAACATTATATAACATTAAATCATGTAACAGACAAACACATATTTGTCCTATTTTTCTTTCAATGGTTTGTAAAAAAAAGTGAATACGGAAATGAACCAATCAGGTTATTTCTGGTTGATAAAGATTTTCAATCTCCTTTGAGGTCAATACAGATTTTTCAGATAGCAAACCAATTTTTAAAAGGACCTAAACATTAATTAAAGAGCAGAAAGTCTTAAAATGATATGACTGGTAAACATCTGTGGATCATCCACAGAGCACAACACAGGGCCTTAGAAACATGAGGCAAGAACTGCTGCAGCAACAAGGAAGAATACCCAAATGTTAGAGTGTTAGAAGTAATATTGTGAGGATTAAAAAAAATATACTTTCTTCAACCTTTGAAACGGAATTCCCAAAATCCAAGCAGGTAATTATTGCTTTTGCCTAAAGTTAAGCTAGGTCAAACACTCAAAACATCAAAAAGATCAGCTACTCTTTAAAGCTGCTCAGTGTATCCAGGTTTTAAACAAACACACCAGGTGGTGACAACAGACAATCTTGGTGTGGTTTAATAAAAACAAGAGAGAATTTTAATGTGCCAATTGCAAAATTAGCGCACGAATAAACATTAAAGTATATACTTGAGTAGTGATGATTATGAGAAACGCATGATTAATTCCCATGGAGGATTATTAATTCCAGAGAGGCATAACCTTAGTCAGAATAAACACCAACTTTTATTTAAAGCACAAACTCTACGTTAATCTGAAATAAAGAGAAAACATCTAATCTGTGTCCGGCCTGTACACAGACAAATGTTAATCAGAGAAGACAGATTTGGAATGACTAGTAAAGGTATTCAGACCCCTCAAACATTTTAATACTTTACAATAAGAAAAAAACAAAATATTTAGGCTACATCTAGTGACTTTTTTTAGAAATTGAATAATCAACCAGTTCATTTTTCAATAAAGTAATTTATCTGAAAAGAGACGCTATAAACAAACATTTGGATACAGAAAAAATAAAAAAGCGTAATTGCACATTTATTATTAGTGGGAATTACAAAACATGTAGAAAATATGTGTTCATATACATGTAATTATATATAAACAATTAAATCCTAAATGGAAAGATTTAATGTATTTTATGCTTATGAATGTTTAGTTAAGACAAAACTCTTAAATATTGCTATAGTTTGGTTATTCTTTGAGCAAATGGCATGCTTTAGAGTCTGTGTTCCATAACTCTAGGTAACGTTTAGATTACCAAATAAGTTGATGATTATTGGGATTAGGATTTTCTGTCGCTGCTGATACAAAAAATAACGGTATTGTTCCAAAACATGACCCAATGTATGGCTGTAATAGCTCTAGTTGCTATTTTTGTGAGTTTTGGAAAATTTCCTCCACAATAAACTAGGGACCAACAGTTCTATACTGCAACATTGATTTAGAATGGATATACAATACCTCTAATAAGCATGCCAAGAACAAAAACAAAACATACATATGAATTCCCATTAAAGTTTTAGAACAGCCTAGTCAAAGTCTAAACCTTAATTAATGTGAGAATTCATGGCATATTGTAAATTGATCTTCTCAGAGACTATGTAATTCAATCTTAAAATGTGCACAGCTGCTGGGGACAACTGCACAAGATTTCCAGCAATATTCTATAAAGGATTGAAGAAGAGAGGGTAGAAGATATACACGCCACACTATTAGAATTCCTATCCTTAACAAAAAATGTAGTCAACATATATTTATGGAAGAAAACAACAACAAACCTTTTTGGTAAAACAGACATTTATGGGTTTTTGCAAAGATCTTTCTAAATAGTTACTAGTTTGGTCTGATAGAGAAAAAAATTTGTCTCAATAAAAACAAAAGTTGTTCTTTTGCACCCAGTCCTTATTTTTCCTGTCAAAAACACACTTCATGACAGGGGAGAGCAGAGCAAGCTGACACCCTGCAGCCCTCAGTGAGGTGCTGCATGAGATGTTTGTTTAACTCCACAGTCTGATCAAAGAAGATGATGACAGCTTTGAGCGCTTATTTCCCCATGAGGCCACAATCAAAAGGGAAAGTAAACACACTGGGAGAAAGTATGCAGGAATAAAAACAATGATGACGTACAGCACGTCAGCACTAACAGTGAGCTGCAGGAGACACTGTTTTAAGCAGCAAACAAGAGACTCACCCAGAATATGATGTTGAAACCGAAAATGAAGTATTTAATGCAGCAGCTCACTTCATGAGCCTTGAAATGCTTCCCTGACATCATCAGGACGGGCTCGGTTTCAAAGGATTCGCATAGAAGCTGCTCTGATGTTTGTCAACAGCCCGGTGGTTTGGGTGGAGGAGACACCCGTAAATGTTTGCAACGGCTCCGAATTTCAGCGCCTCATTGGAAGCGTCATTCTGCGGTGGAGATGGAGCAGCGAAGGACGCTCAGTCTGTCGATAAGTCCAAACACAGCAGCTTTTAGCCGCTCAGGGATTCACAAAGAGGTCAAAGTGTGAGGAATCCACAGGAAGAGCCTGGTTGGAGCTGCTGGTCCTCCAGCTGACCTGTACTTCAGACCAGAGACATGGCTGCTGGCGTCTGAGCGACGGTTCCAGGAGCCAATCAGCTTCCACTAGAGGGCGGGACTTCCTCCTGAGCCCACGGACCAGTCTCCCAATGGCCTCATTTTCAGCGAAATAGACTTTTTTTTTTTTACGGAAGAGTATTAGGGCCACTGAAAATATTAAAAAAAGGTTAACTGATTTTTAAATTTAATTTAAGTATAATATTAGATAAAACTCAGAATTCTGTGGAAAGAATTCTGACTCCTTTTCTCAGATCTCTGATATTTCTTCTCATAATTCTCACTGTAATCTCAGAATTCTGACTTTTTTCTCAGAATTCTGACTTTTTTCTCAGAACTCCCAATTTAACCTCAGAATTCTTACTTTTTTCTCAGAATTCTCACTTTAATCTCAGAATTCTCACTTTTTTTCCTCAGAATTCTCACTTTAATCTCAGAATCCTCACTTTTTTCTCAGAATTTTCACTTTAATCTCAGAATTCAGACTGTTTTCTCAGAATTCTGACTTCAGAATTCAGATTATTTTTCTCAGAATTTTAAAACAAGAGAGCTAGTTTAGTCTCTAAAACATACATGGCTACAGCTTGATGCTAACATGTTTGTTAGCTGTCAGAATTCATTCAGAATCCTGAAATTAAAGTCAGAATTCTGGGATTAAATTCTGAAAAAATAGAATCAGAATTCTGGAATTAAAGTCAGAATTCTGACATTTTTCTCATATTATACTGAAATAAAATTAAAAAATCAGTTAACTTCTTTTTTTTTCAGTGGCACTAATGGTCTTCCGTAGTTTTGCATAAAAGTGAAGATGATGATAAAAAAAGAATACTTTTTCATCTTTATTCTTAAGTATTTACTTATTACTACAAGTGTCAACTCTCTAGGGCCAAATCTTATGACTCAGTGACAAGTATTGCTGTAAAGCTCCATACCCCTCACCCATGTCAAAGGGGTGGACCCGTTCGTCCGTTTCAGTTTGCATGTTTTCAAAACAAAAACAAGGTTTTGATGGGCTGCTGTATAAAACCTCGAACTCAATGCTTCCTGGATGGGAGGCGAAACATCTTCAAACTTGGAAACAAAAGTCAAGTGGATTGGGGGTTTTTTTTTTTTTTTTTGGAATGGCTACTAACACTTAGAGGTGTTTATACAATCTGAGTTGGAGAAATAAAGATTTTTGGTTTTTGTAATTTATCTAAACTCATTAGATTATTTTGTCACTTTCAATAATAATGCAATCAGCGACATATTAATGTGCTCCTAGAGAGCTGCACCATTAACCCTTTACAGGTGCTAGTCATAAAATTAGAATATCATGAAAAAGTAGATTGATTTCAGTAATTCCATTTAAAAAGTGAAACTTGTATATTATATTCATACATTACATACAAACTCATATATTTCAGATGTTTATTTTGTTTAATTTTGATGATTACAAATGACAACAAATGAAAATCTCAAATTCATCATATCAGAAAATTAGAATATTGTGAAAAGGTTCAAAATTGATGGCCCCTGGTGCCACACTCTAATCAGCTAATTAACTCAAACCACCTGCAAAAGCCTTTAAATGGTCTTTCAGTCTAGTTCTATAGGCTACACAATCATGGGGAAGACTGCTGACTTGACAGTTGTCCAAAAGACGACCATCGACACCTTGCACAAGGAGGGCAAGACACAAAAGGTCATCGCTAAAGAGGCTGGCTGTTCACAGAGCTCAGTGTCCAAGCACATTAATAGAGAGGCGAAGGGAAGGAAAAGATGTGGTCGAAAAAAGTGTACAAGCAAGAGAGATAACCGCACCCTGGAGAGGATTGTGAAACAAAACCCATTCAAAAATGTGGGGGAGATTCACAAAGAGTGGACTGCAGCTGGAGTGAGTGCTTCAAGAACCACCACACACAGACGTATGAAAGACATGGGTTTCTGCTGTCGCATTCCTTGTGTCAAGCCACTCTCGAACCACAGACAGCGTCAGAAGCGTCTTGCCTGGGCTAAAGAGAAACAGGACTGGACTGCTGGTGAGTGGTCCAAAGTCATGTTCTCTGATGAAAGTAAATTTTGCATTTCCTTTGGAAATCAAGGTCCCAGAGTCTGGAGGAAAAGAAGAGAGGCACTTCATCCACGTTGCTTGAAGTCCAGTGTAAAGTTTCCACAGTCAGTGATGGTTTGGGGTGCCATGTCATCTGCTGGTGTTGGTCCATTGTGTTTTCTGAGGTCCAGGGTCAACGCAGCCACATACCAGGAAGTTTTAGAGCACTTCATGCTTCCTGCAGCTGACCAACTTTTTGGAGATGCAGATTTCATTTTCCAACAGGACTTGGCACCTGCACACAGTGCCAAAGCTACCAGTACCTGGTTGAAGGACCATGGTATCCCTGTTCTTAATTGGCCAGCAAACTCTCCTGACCTTAACCCCATAGAAAATCTATGGGGTATTGTGAAGAAGAAGATGCAATACACCAGACCCAACAATTCAGAAGAGCTAAAAGCCACTATTAGAGCAACCTGGGCTATCATAACACCTGAGCAGTGCCACAGACTGATCGACTCCATGCCACGCCGCATTGCTGCAGTAATACAGGCCAAAGGAGGCCCAACTAAATACTGAGTGCTGTACATGCTCCTACTTTTCATGTTCATACTTTTCAGTTGGCCAACATTTCTATAAATCCTTTGTTTTTATTGGTCTTCAGTAATATTCTAATTTTCTGATATGATGAATTTGAGATTTTCATTTGTTGTCATTTGTAATCATCAAAATTAAACAAAATAAACATCTGAAATATATGAGTTTGTATGTAATGTATGAATATAATATACAAGTTTCACTTTTTAAATGGAATTACTGAAATCAATCTACTTTTTCATGATATTCTAATTTTATGACCAGCACCTGTATAATGCAGGTTGGAGGAACCTAAGGCTGCCTTTAGTAAAAAATTAACAAGGAGCAACGCTGCCCTCTAATGGCAGCTCCTGTAACATGCAAAGGCCTGATTTCACTAATATCAAGGAAAAAGTAAATAAACTTGTGGCAATTAGCCCGTCATGTAAACATGTCAGATCTTATCATAAAGGCTGCTGCTGAACTGGAGAGCTCCTTCAGTGACAGACTGCTGCACCCTAAATGCACCAGGGAGCGTTAACAGATCCTTCCTCTCAGCAGCTGTAAGACTCTACAACCACCACTGTTCCCAACAACCTCAATAAATTGTTACATGCTGGTTTTGCACAGTTTCTGCCTTAGTCAGGTAAATACACAATCTGCTGTCAATTTGCACATCTCTGATGTTGTTGCTATTTTCAAATATCCATTGCTATAAAATGTCCATAGCGGTATACTGGTTATTTAGTCTCCAGGTGCAAAGTTTTTATATTGTTAAAACACTTCACAGTGCAATATTTCATTTGTTAATTTTTTTAACTCTTCACTATTATGTTATTATAAGGTCCGTTGTGTGACCATGTTTTTTCTATAATCTTTTTGCTGCTGTAAACACCAGAATTTTCCCATTGTGTGACAATAAAGGGATTTTCTATTCTATTCTCTCAGCCTCTATGACAAGATTGTAGACAGATTGTAGATGTAAACCCAGTTAATATGCTGTGGTATAAGCGGCTCATACTCTACATCCCTCCAATGTGACTGAACTAAAACAGTACTGAAAGAAGAGCAGTACAAAATCTCCCCATAGCGATGTGATAGATTCATAGCTGTTTATTACAAATAACTGTTGGTTTTTGTCCAGTGGCGCTGCAGGTTGTAAATGTCTGTCGTACAGGGCTGGGTTTTTATCCAATGAAATTTACGTGTATTTTTAAAAGTGTTTTTTTTTTTTTTTTTTTATCTAATGGATAGTTTGACACATTACAACAAAGCAATCATAAATAAATCTTAGTTTTTATTCAGAGCACTGACACATTTAAGTGAAGCAAAACCAAATGTATGTTGTTTGGTGGTAAAAGGCCCAACACTGAGATAAGCTTTTTAGCACTTGTGAAAGTTTGAAATTATGAAGTTTTTTGGAGTAATAATAGATGATGAGGTTTGTTGGAAGCCCCATTTAAATGATGTAAAACAGAACTGTTTTTTATTTGCTGTTCTTTTCATATGTGATGCCTAATATGACCCACTTTGCTGGAATTTGGGGAAATATATATAAAACAAACCTGGATTCAATAATTAAACTGCAGATAGGAAGTGTTAGGATAATAAATCAAGTTTAATAATACAAATTAGCTTTTCATAAGATCACAAAAAATAACATTTCTGGTTATTGTATATTTAAAAAACTGTTGAAATTATGTTTTGGGTGGTAAAGAAGACTAGTCCTGTTTGTATTGAAAAAAAGTTTAAGTAAAGGCAGATTTATAACAAAAGGGATTGCTAATGAATGAAATATACAAAGTTTCCATCTGAAATATAGATGTGTGTTAGTTTTGTGTGTAAAATTGTTGAATCGACTAAACGGTGAAATTAAGATGTGACATTCTGTGTTAATTTTCAAGAAGACATTAAAATCTAAAATAATTAAAGCTTAAAATGAAATTTGACTGATTTTAAGCTCTCATTTGTTCTGTAATGATGTACTAGTACTGTTTTTTTTTTATTTTTTTTGTGAATTAGTCTTATGATAGATTATAAGCTTTTTGGGCCTCAACCTAGTTTTTTTCTGGATAAATTATTTATAAAAATTGAGTTTCAATTTTGTCTTTAAACCATATTAAAACATTTGTTCATTCATTTAAATACAGCTTTGACAAAACAAAAGCAACACACAACAAAAAGCAGAATCAAATGAAGGACCTTGAGGTGCACTAAAATGACCTGAAACTATTTCAGGAGAGGTTGATTATATATAAGGGCATCAAACAGCCCTTAAGGTTAGGCAAATAGCTCATAATCATAATATTCAATCTTTACTAGTCAGTGATTTCAAGGCAGAAAACCAACATGTTTAAATTTTTCTTTATTTATTACAGAAAATATCAAAACTCTAATCTGCTACAAATATTTGCGTACAAAAGAGAGTCATTCATGAAAATAAATATCTGTGCAATTTATCCGTATTTTGACTGAAAGTGGAGAAACGCTGAGATTCACACGGATTAAACATCACAAAGCAAAACAGCAGAATATAAAGGTCTGCTCTTTTTTTCATTGGCTGCTAACTGTGATGCAATATTATTCATTTCCACTGCAAACAATTATCTTATCACCTTTAACTACCTCATTCAACATATTGTGCCGTACACAGCGGATACTATGGGTATCGCTTCACATCTAAATCCTTCCTAAAGTTTCTCTAAAATATACATTTACAAAGTCTGACAAAACAAAAGGCAGAAACACTGTAAAATGGAAGCCATCATTCCCGTGGGACCTTTTCTCTTCCTTTATGAAAAATATTGAACTTTACAACTTAACATATTTCAAAAAAACAAAAGAAAAGACATCATCTCAGTCTGTTTTTTCTGGATTCTTGCAAATTACAAACTTTCATTGACCTTTAATGATTGCACCACTTATTTTTGCAACTTTAAAGTCTTTGCATGTCGTAGAAATGTCTAATAATGTGCAACAACAATTCAAATTGTCATACAAATATTTGAGAAGGAAAAAAAAACTTAATGGTTATCATTCTCTTAGGTTTAACATTCAAACTACATCCTTCTTTTTTATTGGTTTCTGGATAAGGTCAAGAGAAAAAAAAAACAGAATATAACCTGTTGCATTACTATTAGCAGATTTTTTACAGGATGCAAAATAAAACTTACAGAACCAATGCACATTCCCTTCAACACACAATTGTTTTATATATATATATATATATATATATATATATATATATGCAATTATATTGTTATCTTATATGAAATGCATTTGCACCTTTTTATATTACTTTAACACTTTGAGGAGCACCCAACATATGAAATGCATCACATCAAATAAAACCTATAAATATGAACTTTACAAGGCTGAAATCTAATGAAAATGGCTCATCAGCCATGTTATGTTCACAAAAATCTGAATGGTATTTGGGGTTTTTTAAGACTGAAAACTGTAAATGACAATTAGGTTTATCGACTCCTTTCATAATACAGGAATCAGTTTTTTTTTTTTGCATTGATGTTTAGCAACATTTAAATGAAATAACTCAAAACAAAAAAAAGAATCACAGTAGCATGCTGGAGGCAAACAATGGCTAGATTAGACCCTAAGGCTTGGCAAGAATTACCTTCTTGTAGGAATCAGCTTATAAATCGGGTGTCTATTTGATTACTTCTATGTTACCATACCTGGCTCCAACGAGTTGCTGTATGATTATTGAAGCAGAATGATGCTTAATATTGAGGTCTTCCAACATTTAGAAACTGAATCAAAGCCACAGATACCTAACTAATCTGAACGCTCTGAGAAAGTCACATGATGTCTCATGCAAAGCCTGAGTTTATGTGTAGAACACTGTAAAGGTTTGTTGGCTTTGATATGTCATTTAAGGACTTGCATGATAATTCACATATTAATGACATCAGAGATTCATAAATGCAGCTCAGTCCGTATTCAAAGTAGATCCCAGAGCAGGTTTAGGTTCACTCTTTGAATGTGCCTCTTCCAGTCAGATCAAAGCGGACACTGTTTTGGGGGGGGCAGTGCAGCTTGCAGACGGGCTGCAGGATCCTGCTGGTGTCAAAGCTGTAGAGCTGAGAACTATGAAGACCAGGTTATGTCACCTTGATGGCAGATTTTTTCTGAACGCAGAGCAGAGATACATATGGCACCCCGATGAAAGCCCACTTCTCGTTGGGCCAGAACATGATGACGGGGCCTTGCTCTGGAGCCTCGGTAGCCACATGGAAGTAGGCGAAGCAGACGCAGCCTAAGTAGGAGGCCAGACAGATGAGGATGTGCCTGTGGGAGCAGGAGGACCATCAGTTTTTCATTTTTTCCAGAAAAATGTCTTAAAAAGTCTTCCATCTAACCCTTCTTTAGACATTTTTCACCATAAAACTTTATGTGATAGATCAACACAAAGTAAAGCACAATTGAAGTGAAAATTTACATTTCAAATAAATCAATTGTGTTATTACAAGTGAATAACATCAAATTATCTTATTTTGGGAGTAAAAATACTAATTCCATCGACAGATCATCTTATTCACCAACTGAAATAAAGGTAAATACTTGATTAAAAAAATTTTTACTTATTTTTAGATAGTTTTCTAATCAATGCAAATCTGAACATTGGTTCAATCTTCCAACCAACAATAAACAGATACGCAAATATTTTTTAGCTGATATTAGCATTACATTTTTTTGTTTTTGTATCCGCATTGGCTAATACGTGCAATATGCAATATCTTCGATATTTTAATTGTTCTTTATGATTCAGTTGAGAATTTTTGTCATATTTGTTAATATTGCCTCATTTTGATCACATAAATTGAGGAAAACAAAACAATATCGGTCTAAAGATTCGGCCCAAAGTGTGTCCAAGCTGAAAGGTAGTGATTGTCCTCTCTTAAAAATATCTGTTATTTTTGGTTTTCTTACAGACACAAATGATAAACTATGTGAGATGTTTGAGTTGGGCTTACCAGGCACAATGCAAATAGGGGAAGTTGACTGAAGACCACATTTCACAGAATATCCTGTCGCTGATCCAGCAGAGCAGAGCGAGCGCCCACCAGATCCCCGAGATCAGCCCCAGCTTGAACACACGGTAGTTTTCACACCTGCAATGAGAGTGAGCTGAGAAATGTGTGCAATTCTGGAAACTAACACACAGATGAAAGGTCACGATGTAATCCCAGAGAAAAAAAAACAAAAGATGGAAACAGCAAAGCACCTCTGATTTCACAAGAACCCGATCCTTTTACCCTAAATGCTGGGTTTTTTTCAGTCCATATTTGACAGAAATTTTATCAAATCTGCATATTTGTGTGTTTTTGTTTTGTTTTCTGTCATGAGTTTTTATGTAAACCCATATGTTTCTGTGTTTAATATGCTTGGTGTTGAATACTCTTTGCTTTGCCTTTGGAAAAAGATGCCAATAGTAAATCAGGAAATGTTTGCTCTTTTAAAACAACATAAGACTGTTTAGATTTGCTACAGTGAATCTTAATGTTTACATTAAGATTATGAAAAAAGTGTTTTTTGGTAGAGTTGTTTGACTGTAATAAACAAAAAAAAACTTAAACAACATCTCAAAACACCACGGCCAACAGGACGGTGGAGGGGTGATTATATGGTGTTATTTCCAGCCACAGAACATGGAAATGGTGAGTCATTTAGTAAACCAATGAGAAAAAAATATTTTTAAGAGTAGGAGTTGGGTCACAAACAGGAAGACGACACCAAAAGCAGCTTCACAGAATGGTTCATTAAAACATTGGAAGACTCCAATGGCCCAGTCAAAGTCCGAACATGGGTCTGACTGAAAGGCTGTGGTCAGACCTGAGGGGAGCTTAGTGAGGAACAAAAGCCAAATAAAGCCAAATAAAATCAAGCAACACTAAAACACCATCAGAATCTGTCAACAGTTAATAATCACTCTGAATCCATTTCTAAAAAATCTAAAATGTGGTTCATTCATGTGAAAAAGAAATGAAACTCTCTTTAAATTCTATATTTTGTATTTAAGAAAAACCTGGGGCGCACTGATGAATTTAGTTTACATAAATGTTCCCTCATGCTTTTATCTTTTCTAAAGGACCTGCTGGAACCTCATAATTTTCTTAGATTCATCCATCCATTTTCTGTCATGCTTTATCCCAAGCGGGGTCGCAAAGGGTTGCTGGTGCCCATCTCCAGCTGTCTACGGGCGAGGGGCGGCGTCCATCGCAGGGAAACACAGAGACAAACAGGACAAATGACCATTCACACTTAAGGACAATTTAGAGAAACCAATTAATCTAACAGTCATGTTTTTGGACTGTGGGAGTACCCAGAGAGAACCCACGCATGCTCAGGGAGAACATGCAAACTCCATAGAGAAAGACCCCGAGCCGGGAATTGAACCCGGAACCTTCTTGCTGCAAGGCAGCAATGCTAAGCACTGTGCACTGAGCAGCACTTATAGAGACCAGATGATTTATAAACTGAAAAACAAAGGTTCGCTTTTTCATGACTCTTCCCTCGAAGTGAGGAAATATTTCCCTTTCTGTCCAGTGAGAGGGTGTCAGCATTTGGCCAACATAAATTATCAGCAAAATCAAATATAAAACATTGCTGCGTTGAATAGTTCTTACTGCTATTAACATACATGGCTCTTCTGTTCTGTGTGGCAGCAAACCCGCTTTAAGCACATTACCACTACCTTAAGGGCTGGAGTGAGAAAGTCAGTGTGTTACTCTTGTTAAATGTAATGTGGCTGAATTCAGTGCTTCTCTGACTTGCATTTATTTTTATTGTGATTATACTGAGAATTAAATGTATTTCCTATCAATAACTAAAATGATCCCTGATGTTGCATCATGTGGGAGTTTGAAAAGGGAAAGTTCTGCTTAATCCTCAGATAAATAAACACATCCCCTGACCTACAAAGATGTGCTAATCCAGAGTGCCTCTGATAAACTATTCTTAGCGCTGCCCTCCTAAGAGTCCTTGTGACTGGGGTGGAGACATGGAGGCCTGATCGTTCTGATGGGGCTGCACAGTTCTCTTCTGTTAAAGTCACAATGTTTTACTAGTGCCTTATTTGCTGTGATGTTTTAATGACCATCAAGGGTCAAGCAAAAACATGGCTTAACTTTGATGCTTTGCTCACATTGACAAATTGAATAAAAGGTGTTTTACTGAGTTTCGCATCATTCTCCAAGTAGGAGGATGATTTAGCTGCTCTGTCTGCAGCCATGCTCTCAACCAAAGAGTAAACTTCTCTCTGCCTTAAGTTCAAGTAACTGTGTTTTGTCTCAAGTGATGGTACAGTCAGATTGGGCAGGAGATGGAGGGACTGCTTTTGGTCTCTTCTACACTGATACAACAAAAGAGAAACACAAGATAGGAGCTGAAAAGCATTTACTGGTCCATCTATGTTCCAACTCACACTAATGTCCCCTTTGATCATGACTGAAGAGCAAGATCCTAAATTCTGGCTGAAATGAAAATGAGCTTTCTTTCTATGGTGGCTAGGCTCACCTTAACTTAAACAGGTGAAGAGGTCCGTCATCTGGAATTAAGTCAGGAGCACCTAACTTTTTTCCTCCCTTTAGAGCATTTTCTTAGCACATTCAACTAGTTAAAAAAAACTCAAGGATGAAACAGAACTCCCTGGAGCGCCTTCATATCCCACATGAACCGGGAATGCTAAGGCACAGCAGTTCCCAGCCCTAATCCTCAGGGACCACTGTCCTCCATGTTTTCAGCTTCTGCAGCAATTATTAGAATGGAGATCATGCAATAATTTAAATCAGGGGTTCTGGATCATCGTCACATCTACAGTAATGATCTGTAGAGGTTTCCCAACCTTCCATCTTTAATACATTTCAAAGAATTCAATGCAAAAAAAGAAAACTCTGTTAAGCAAGTGTTTCTAGGAAACAGGAAACTCCTCAACGTCTCATTAGCAACAACAATGACTAAAACAAAGGAAAAATGTAATTAAACCATCATCAAAGTTGACACATATACACAGCGAGTCTATTTTCCCATGGGAAACAGTCATGACTGTGCATCAGGGCTCGCTAACTTAACGTACAGATTGTCCTCAGTTGGTCAACACCTCTTCCTGCCAACAGAGACTATCAGCAGGCTGCAGGATATCTGCTCTCCTCTCACATTAGAGAAGTAACAAAGATAAGAAGGGGAGCGCAGTTTGGGTGAGGCATCGCTAAATGAGCTGAATAATTCAAGAAGGAAGAGATCTTACTTTATGCAACTCAAAGCATAAGTTATTGTGGTAGGATTATTAGCTGCTATTGATGCTCTGAATTGTAAACCTGGTGCCAAAATTGAAGCTGTATGAAGCGCTTATTTAAATAGTCTTATCACGAACAATCCAAATTAATCTTATGACTTCAGCTCAGTAGAATTTAGCAGTTTAAACGACACATGAACAAGAAATACATACCAGTGATAGTATTGCTTGCATCCAAAGTCAAAACCTAAAAGTAATCTATAAACTAGGATTTCTATTTCAGGGCAGTTTGTTGAGCCAAATTTGCCAATAATAACACCCAGAGACATGTAAACAGGTAAAGTTAATTATCCCACATCATTTTTCATAAGCAGCTGTTGTCCAAACATAACATCCTTTAGAAATAAATGTAATATTTATTAACGTAATAATGTCTATGTCATTAGTAGCTTAGATTTATTGACTGTTTTCTTGTGGGTTTCTTGTTAGTGTGATATGCTGGTGAAGATTCTCAGTCATCCAGCTCAAAGTCATTCCAAAAAAGGTTAAAACCAATCCACTGGACTTTGTTTTCCAAGTCTAAAGATGTTTCGCTTCCCATTTTTAATTGAAAAAGCTTCCTGAATGGGAAGTCTTCCGACTTGGAAAACAAAGTCCAGTGGATTGTTTTTTTTTTTACTTTTTTGGAATTGCTAGTGTGATATAACAGCAAAAGCTAGTTTCTATGCATCCAGGCTGGATAAGCACCAATGTTTACCTTTCACCTCACAGAATGAAAAGGAATGCTATAGACGTGCAAGAAAGGGTTTAATCCTGGTATACCAAAGTCTCCTAAACAGCCATCACACAGTGTGTACATGCCAGGCCTCCAAACATTACAAACCTGAACAGAAAAACTTTACTAAGCTCTAATTAGAATATAACTAGGGCTGAAACAATCGGATTAATCGCATTCAATCGATTGTAGAAATACTCGCCAACTAATTTGGTAATCGGTTAATCGTTAAATGGAGTGTGGAGAGTTTAAAACATACCTTTAGCTGACAGATCTACCCACTTAGAGCAGTAATCAAAATTGTAAAAAAAAAAAAAGTAAACTTAAATAAATTTTTTAAATTTAAGATTTTGAAAAAAAGCCTGTCAATATGCTCTATACAAAACTCCTCAAGTCGAAAAGTTTTAGTTTCACCTGGTTTAATTTAATATAAAATATTTTTTAATTAACCTTTTTCTATCTGATTATTAATCGATTAATCCAAAAAAATTAATTGATTAATAATCGATGTGCAAAACAATCACTAGTTGCAGCCTTAACTATAACTGTATGCTCTGTTCAGATGAGACAGGGGAGATCGAGATTTACCATTTCTTTCTCTAAACACATGAAGATTGTTTAATACAGAGCAAAATATAAATAAGTGGGAAAGTAGCAGATCCTGAAAGGAAAGTGTATGGTGTAGGATCTGTGATGCTGTGGGCCTGTTTTTCTAAAATCAAAGTGAATCTTGCTGGAGGGCATCGCACATAGAAACCCTTAAAAGCCTGAGAGATCTTTAATAAATAAAAAAGGTTAAAGGAGTCAGTTTGTCGTCTAGAAATGGGAAGAAACTGGAGTAGGTGTGATCAATAGTGCATAGTTGATTATACCTCTCTCTATCCTTGTGAGATGAGTGCTGATCTTTTGAAAAACAGTGGATGTTCACGTAGACAGAGCCAAGGAATCAACGGTTGTGCAAATAAATATTTTTAAAGCATTTACTTCTTCTTTTCCTATCTGTCTTCCTCCACAGTAATCAGACAGGAAATGGGCAGCGGGAGGGGAGGTGAGGGGGGGGGGTGGGCTGTACTCCAATCTTACATCATAAGAAAGTACTTCTTATTATGGGACATCTTCCATTATGAAAAAGCTTATTTGAGTTATTTTTATCTTTCAAAATGAGATTATGCTCCTGCAGTAAAAGACGTTTAATATCTTAATGCTTTTTATCATCTTTAAATCTATATTTGAAGCAACACAAATTAATGCAAAACTGAAACTAGAACAGTTTCGCTTTAAGCAATGATTTTATTGGCTTACTGAAATAATGAGCACGTTGTTTTTTGGTGCAACTGGAGCTCTGTCAAATGGGGGCCAAGAGTCACACTGTAAAAAAGTCAAACAACAACAAAACAGTGTGTTCTTTCTGAGGGCAGTGGTCCATCAGTCATGGTCACAGGAACTCAGTCTATCCCGAGCAAAACAAAACATCAAGAGGCTTCAGAAGATGACTGATGTCGCTGTAATGTCAAGAATTAAGGAGAAATTAAACAATAGGTGACCTAATGTTACGGAGCAACGAAGTTAAGGCTGCAGAGGAAAAAACACAACATGTGACCCCATATTACTGAGAAGGAGGAAATAATTAGAGGTTAATGCAAAGGATCTCCTTACCAACCAACACAAGGAGCTGGTTAAAAAAGGAAGTGCAACTGGGGACGAGCGCGTGGGATCTCCTGACGTTAACATATCACCAGAATGATTGACAGCTAGGAGGCCTACTTATTTTGATGATCCTCCCAGAAAAATAACATCCTCCACTATACCTTTAATACTTCTGTTTATAATCTGGAGTTAAACAAAAATCTGAAATAAAAGCTCAAATCTAATAAACATCTAAATGCAACTACGAAATATTTCAGTTACACACTATTTCCATAGTATGTAGTTGCTGTTCATCCTTTGGAAAAATCATCTCCGGCAATACAAGACAGAGCATGACCTCTAATTAAACCCAGAACACTAAACAACTTCCTGCTGGTGGGTACCATCTATTGTATTCACATAATCACATTTCCTGACAATAGACTTTGAGCAGATTATAGATAATTACTTGAAGTCATTGTACTCTTAATGCTCTCTTTGTACTCTCTTTATCCCTAAGGCAGGTAGAACCTCACACAGGGTATGAGTCCGGTGGTCTATGTCAGAGGGCTTTTTCATCAACCTTAAAGGGTAAAAAATAAAAATAAAAAATAAAAACACAAAGTGGCAAAAGTGCAAAAATTATGAAAATGATATGTCATACTCCAGAAAAGTACTGAATGGGAACCAGAAAGTTCAACCAGGATGTTGGTTAATGTGAGAAAAAAAATCTGAATGTTTAAGGAACATTTGTTATTATCCAATGCTGATTTTAATATTATTACGTGATTAAAAAACTAAATCCAGTCACCTAAAAAGAAAGTGATCAATTCAGGAATAATAGGAAGAACAAAAAAAAAATGTTTTTTCAGTATTTTAGTCACGAATTCCTACAGCAGCAGAGTCATAGCATGACTAACATGAGCAGAGAAACAATGGGACCCAATCTAACAAAAACACATTAAGGATGAAAATGAGTCAGATTGAGAAACAAAGTCGGGTTTTTGTTTTGTCCACAGAGATACTGTTTCTTATTAACTGGTGTAGAGCAGAGCATTAGGGTTCTGTAGCATGATCAGCATGAGGTGTGCCGGGATCCAATAATCTCCACTGACCTTTTAAGCTCGGTGATGAGCAGCGCCGTGCAGGGGATGCCCAGAGTCATGAGCGACAGTGAGTTGACCACAGGTTTAACAAAGGCCAGAGCGGTGGTGATCCCAGACAGGATGCCGATGACCACTTTGAACCTCAAACTAGGCAGAGAAACAAAAAAAGTAAAAATATGAGGTGACCTCTGGATGGAAACCTAAACAGACTATTTTTTTTCAGTTAGAAATCACACTGATAACACATTCCTGTCTTTTGGTTCTAAATTGTTGAGATAAATTGTCTTATTTTTAAGCAAATCCAGTTTATTTACACTAGTTTTATTTTAGAGAAAAACTAATTTTGTGTAGTTCCAGTTTATGCTTTTAGAGATGTTAATGTTTTATCCAATAGCTGTTCTTTTTCACTTTTTATTGAACCCCCATGCTCTTAACCCAACTGCTGACGAGCTATAGGCAGAGAAAACATAACATGACAGCCTGCAGCGGGAGAGAACCCATCAAGTCTCTGTGACAATACAAGAAAAAGACATGTGATGCTTCTTTTAGTGGTGTCAGCTATCTGGGACGTTCCTATATTTAGATACAATGAGTCATAATATTGAATGCGTCATGAGACAAGCCAATGACCCATAGTGAACTCCAGATGTCAACCTATGTCACTTAAAATGTTTTTAAATCCCAGTTAGAACCTCTAAAACCCCGTTTTTAATTAGTCCCTATCAACATACCGGTTTCTCCTGAACATCTTTGGCATGTATCGCTTGGGAAACCACATGGCGATGGCACACATGAGCACCCAAAGGATGGCCAGCTCATCCAGCATTTGGCCGAGGAAGCTGAGTGTGGCGTGAAAATATGTTGAACCGATGCCTGTGAGAGGGAAAGTCACAAAGAATGATGACAGGGGTTTATAAGCGGATTGGTGGTCGACTGAAGGAGGCGCCTCTTTCTAAAAGGCTACAGCTATTATAATTGAAAGTTAGAGGAACATCTCACCCTAAGGTGAAGCAAGACCAGCATCTGTCAGAGATTATAGTTGCCACCAACAGTACAAGCTGACATATTACCCTTCAAATGGATCAGAGGCCTCATATTTTTTTCATTTCATGTTATAAGCAGAACTATTGATGCAGACAGATCATTTCCTTTCTGAACTCATTTATTATGCATTTACCAGAAGCTATTTAGTCTCCATGCAGTACTCCACAATTTTAAGAACTATTTATGAATAGAAACCGCTATACTTTATAACACAACACAGTTACAACCCGGCAGTGGGACTACATTAAAGATATTATTACGGTTTTAGGCAGAGGTCTAAAAAGGTATGGGATTGGATTAAAATAGGGTTTTTTCCCCACCTGTAACTGCACACTGCTACTCAGATGGCTGCATAAAAGGCACCTTAGACCTTTTCTCTTTACAAAAGTTAATTTGCTGTTCAGAAATATTTGCAATCCTTAAAGGAGAACGCCGTGTTTTTATATTGGACCCTTGATTTTATGTTATTACATCATGTTCTACTCACCCATAGGAGTTTTGTGTCATTTGGAGCTGTTCTGAAGATATTCAGTTAGGTTATATTCAAGTAACGTCTTCCTATGGGCAACGACTTGAAGGCACAAACTAAACTGTTCAGAATTTATCATTCATGGTACGCCAGCATTCATAACATGTAGGCGAATCACTGTCCCCTAGACATCAGCGGTTATATTTTTTATATTTATATTCTTTTAAACAAAGCAGAGTGTGTTTACCTCATCCGTGCGATGGACTGGAGTTGTGTCAGGCAGATCGGGCCACAGGCGGCTATGCTCAACGCCTTCTATTCATTTGGCTAGCTAATCTGAATTGTATAATTCCATTTAGAGAGCGAGATCATCTGTTGTAGTAGCACTAGACATCTTCCAGGCATGTGAGGAAAACTAGCAGCAGTTCAGCGGACAGGATGAATGAACGGTAGTTGGCGCGCGCCAACACATTTCCAGATACAGGTAAAAAAACATAAGGCTGACAAGTTTGTCCTCTTTCGGCTTCTCTAATCAAAAATGACAACACAACATAGCCTCTCCATTATGTGCACCACCCCTTACGTATTTATAAACTACTAGTTCTAAGTCATGACAACGCTCTCCTGTCCTGCTTTATCTTTAGCAAACTAGACGTTTGCTAAAGAAAAAAATTACATTGTTACACAATGTCCCTTTAAAAATGAGCCAGCTGTTAAAAATTATGAAAGCTATAGGTGTTTTTTTTAATTTTATTTTAAGAATATTTGTTAAATATAAACCTTCAGTAGCTATGAATAAATGATCATGTATCTAGGGTTATAGCTCAGCAGCTGCATGAAGAGTTACTGTGAATGTGAAACACAAGAGCAGTAGGGCTGGGCTGGACTCTTTTGTTATCACTGTCCAACAGAACGTATCTGATCTAAGTAATCTCCTGTCCCAACAAAAGCTCTGAGAGTCGCCATCTTTTTAACAGAATTTTTATCCAAAGACCCATTGCTGTCATCACTTAGGCCTCAATCTGGGTGTTTTTATTTTCAATAACCCACATTTTCTGATCCTTTTAAATGTAGATCAAACAAACCGAGGACATAAGGAGGAGATGTGTATTTCTATAATTTGATTATTTATGTAAAAAGTTAAACCTGTGTTAAATTCAACCTCTATTCTTGAAACAAACGAGCAATAACTGTTAATTCTTTCAAGTATAAATTAACAATCCTTGCAGTATGGGTGAACCCTTTAAGAACAGAGTCCGATCTTTGTGCTCAGGTCTGAGATCTCGTCATCTAAAGATAAGATCCGAGGAAATGAATTGTTTTCTCTTTAGAGTTGATTAAAACAGCCTGTTCAGTGTTTCACACCCCCACTGACTGAGGTGACCTCCCAGTGGATGGGGTCAGGCTATCTTTGCCGAGTATGCAACCTGTGTTTTCAAACAGCACCGAGAGAACAAGGCCCTCTGTCTCCATTTCCATACAAACAGTGTCAAACCATCTGCAATCTCTTAGCTTGGTTTGCAGGACAGCATAACACTGCAAACAGGTAACAATTCTGCATTCAAACCGTATTTTTTTAGTAAAGAGGATGTGATCTAAAGAGCATCTGTGAAAAATCTTGTTTACAATTTACAGTTACATGGAATAATATTTCAAAGGGCTGCTAAACCTTAAGAAAACATGTAATAAATTATGTGATATAATTAAGTAAAATGTTCTCTTTTTCTTATATCCAGTCCCCCTGTCTTTTGAGCTTCAGTGAAAGTTTAAGGAGGAGGAAATACATTTTCAGCATGCAGAATTTGCAAGGCAAACACTATACAGAACAGGCATAAGACCATTACAACATTGCATGCATGGAAATGCATTGCAATATAATCTGTGTGATCTGACATTTGTTAGACAATTTAATTGTTGGGGAGATAATGGGGGGGGGGGGCACAAACTTTTAGATTCTCTCAGTTAGTGAACTTTGAGCAACAAAGGAGAGCAAATTAATCAAGGACCAGATGGTGTAAATGTCCCCCACCCAAGCAAATCAGCTTCTGGTCTGGGATTACATCCACAGAGAGCAAACTGAGGAAGATTAAGCAGAATAACTGGTGGCAAGTCCAGAAAGTCTCTGCAGCAACCGACCAGCCACCAATAAAGGCAACCACGCATGTGCACAGAGAGGCTGTGGCTATTTTCTGCTTACCAGAGTCTGTTTGCAGCCATAAACAAACAACTTGTTTCCGTTTTTAAAGGAATGAAACGTCCTGTCTGCACTGCTCATCCTCACTGTGAAGAAGTGTTGAACTCACCGACCACCACCAGCAGGATCCAGATGAGGTAGATCCCATTGTTGAAGTGCTGGGCATATTCACGGAACAAAAACATCAGTATAGGAGGCAAAACAAAGAACAAGATGTTGCTGATCTGAAATTGAATAAAGAAACAAATAGAAGATTTAGGGAAACATTAAACAACGTGTTGATCACTGGGTTCAGAAGAACAGCTGAAGTGTAAATGATTACATTTAAACCAGATTAACGTAAACAAAAAAACTGGATCTGGATCTGATAAGAAGAATAGTTCTTGGTAAAAGGGGGCTGTGAGGACTGTTGGAGAGAAGAGCATCAGAGCAAAACAAAGGCAGAATAGATGGCGGTTGTAAACAAAACTGCATGAGAGACGCTGTTGATTAAACACTGACCGTGTTGTAAAATTCAGCGATGCTGGGGTAGATGAGGTAATTCCCTTCACACCAGTCCACATCCGAGCTGCCAGCCTGCAACTGGTCCCAGAAAATCGGGATAGCGTTGCTCATGTCTGGACTAGTTCTGGACAACAGAGCGCTGCGCCGATCAAAGCAAAGCAAAACAAAGCAACAGCTGAGGGAAAGTCCGCCAGCTCGGAGGCTAAAGACTAACAGTTTAAATGCTGAACCGTGGATGGCTGTGAGAAGAAGTGTTGATGTCGGGAATCGCTCCTGTGTTGCATTTTCTCTTCGTCCTTCTTTTCGCAAAGCCTCCTATCTTCTGCTCCGTCCTCTGACAGCTGCTAAACTCTGGCCTCAAAGAGTGAGCAAGCGAGTCAAGAGGACTCCCCCCTCCCGGCTTCCGTCGGCAGTGAAACCGGAAGTGCTTGGATTTAATCAAAGATACAAAAGTTGTCTGTCTGATACTATCCAAATAAAGTATTTAAGGATTACTTGTTTAAACAGCTGTATTGGCATCCCATCTGATAAGGCCGATGCTGATTTTCATTTTAAATTAATTTAATTAACATTAAATTCCATGCAAAACGTAATAAGGTGCAAATATTTATTCGCCTATTCTATGCTTAAAATCTTAAAATATTTATTATTATAATTATCATTATTATTTTCATTGTTATTATCATTATTATTATAACTGCCGTTGAAATTATTTAATAATTTCTTTCTCTCCTCTCCAGGGTATTTGTTTCAAAAATCATTAGGATGGTTGTTGTGTTTGGTCAAAAATTGTGGTATTTCTTTGCTTGGATGCGTTTAATAATGAGGAAACGTTTGAACATTTTGACATGCCAGATGTGCCATTCGGAGCTGCTTAAAGGAAAAATCAGCAATTCCAACTACTGGTGAATCGGTGCATCTCTGAAATGAATCCCTAGATAATAAGTTTCCATTCGTTCCTTATGTGACCAGTAGAGGAGGTAGATCTTTTTAGGCAAGACGCACCAGAGCACGGAGTAGTCTCCAATGATTTATTAACAAATTTCATTAAAACATTTTCCTTTTAAAACATGGCCTCGGGCCCACTACTCAGCCCCTAGAAGGAAAAGGCATCAAAAATGAGGACAATTTAAATTATTCCCAAAAAAAAAATGAATGAACAATGAGCAATGCAAAAGAAAACAAATTAGTAAATCAAAACAAAGGAAAGCAAACAAATTAGTAATTTAAATAATAAGCAAACAAACGGCAAAGAAAAGAACACAACCACTGCAAACGATGGGACAAACTGTCGTTGTCCGACTTCTAATGTCTTTTCACGGGGCCAGAGGAGTCGTGCCCCGCTCGTTCCACCAGCCCAAGCGTCAGCAGGCTCCGCCGAGAGCGGCCCAAACAAAACCGGCAAGACAGACAAGACAGCAGGAGCGTCCAAGCGCTGCAACTCCGGAAGAATCCCAGATGTGGTGACACAGCCGACCAGGGAGGGAGCGGATCAGCAGGCGAGGGCTGGACGGAAGCCGCTCGCCGCACCAACCTCCAACTGCAGCCGCCAACGCCAGCCGCGCAACGTATTTTGGATGAGTGGATCGAGCACACCAGCCACTTGGGCAGCCGACACACGGTAAGGAAACAAAGCACACGCACCCCGCAGCGGACTGCTCAGCTTTAAAGCTATCTGCCCCGCCCCCCAATCAGTCACTACACCTGGTGTGTGTAGTTGGGAGGGTGGAACACCATCCCACCACACTTAGTCGTCAACAGAGCAATCAGGCTTTACCTGTATGTTTTCTAGCTTTTGAAGAGTTTCTTATTTACATAGCTCATCATTACAGTGATCACACAGAAAATGTGCTTTTTAAACTTTACAACTCTCATTATTTTATCAAGAAATACTCACTGGGAGAAAAAATAAATAAATAGAAAAAAATTGGGAAATAGAATTTGAATAAAATACTATCAGTTTCCTTTAATCTCTGAATGGCAACCAACTTTCAAGTATCTAATTATATACAAAAGGATATTCATGGTTCAATATAGTGACAAACACAAATAAATTTACAATCCAGATTGCAATGTTTTGTGTCGGATCTTAAGATGAGCCAGTATGATTTTAAGAGGTGAAAAATAAGAAATCAATTACAACATTTTTTCAGAAATCTGTAAGAGCTTTTTGGGGTATCTTTTATTAAGTATGTTTACTTATTACATTTAAACACAAATATCTATACTTTCTACACCTTACTATACGAACTGTACATTGTTACTGATTCCAACTAATCATATTCAAACATATTCTAATTCAGACTTAGAGTATTATAAGTTCTTGTAAAAAATGTCATATTTTGAAAAAGTTTCATCCACTCAATATTTTTAGTGTAATTACATTATACTCATTACTAAATGATACCAGAATTTGTGTATACAATTTTTAAATCTTTCTCCTATCTCCATAAATGTATGGGTGAAAGATGAGGTAGCCTACATGCTGGACAGGTCAACAGTCCATCAAAGGGCAACACAGAGACATGCAACCACGATCACCCACTTATAGGAGACACAAATTAACCAATTAGTCATGTTTCTCGACTGTGGGACTAAGCCAGGATAACTGGAGAGAACTCATGCATGAATAATTACTTTATTATTGCCGTACATTATATTTTTTATGCCGTATTTTATTATTTTATTGTGTTTTATTATTTTTAGCTATGTCCAGCGCTTTGCTTAAAGCGCTATATAAATAAAAATTATGATGATGATGATGATGAAATAAGGAAAACACTGACACTGGTTCTGCTGGAGGTTTATTCCGGTTAAAACACGGTTTTCCTGTACACTGTCAATGCATGCATGATCGGTTGGAGGGATTGCTGTAGAGTCAACAACACAATGGAACTGCCACATGCTCTTCCAGAAGGAGCAAATTCTGCAAAGTTAATGAATCAATATAATCAGCTCTGTTTTCTTAGATAGAAAGCATTTAACCAATCTGACTCTATGGTCTAATTTAATAGTCTCTGTCTGTAACATGCCTTCCAAACTCCATGCGGAAAGACCCTAGCCCTGGGACCAAGAATCGGTAAGACAACAGTGCAATAAACTTTACTTTTACATAAATATCTGTAACATCATTTTAGGACAGTCTCCTTTTACACCTACTTGAGTTGAAGTATGATGAGGTAGTAGAAGTTTTGGGTATACTCTTACCCTCTTGTAACTGAATACAGTTATTATATTATTATTGTAGGCTACAATGCCTTGGGCTAATCTGCTCTCTAGCGCTCTCTGGTGGCCAATATTGGTGTCGCTTGAAACTCTATTTTTCAATAAAAAGTTAAACATAATACTACCCAATTAGTTGATAAATAAATAAAAAATGTAACTATTTAGCAAGTTTGTTATAACAAAAATGTATTTAAACTGGATTTTTCTCTTGGTAAAGACAATTTTATCGAAAATAGACAAAAAAGAGAAATAAAAATATTCCTTTTCTACATTCTTTTTAATTTTTGTCTCTGCATTATGCATGTTATTTTGGGAACATGTCATCTTGTTTGCATAATATTAATAAATAATACATTCCTTGCTGTTTTCTACAAAAAAGGAAGAGCAGATCGCAATATGAGTATAAGTTAAAAGGTTATTTGTAATTATTAAGAATGTGAAATTAATTATGTAAATAATTCAACAGGTATTATCAACAGTTTACATTTCTCATTTCTCATTTCAGTTATTCGCGTATCTCATGTAATTCCTTTCTGCAGATGTTAAGATAAAAATACATTTGAAAACTGAATGTTCATTTGACAAATATTGTTCAATGAAACACCTAAATTCAACATATATGTGGTCTAATTTGTCGTATGCTTTTATTTTTTTATGTTTAGTGTGTAGCACAGTCCTGACTAATGTCTACTTTTATTCTTACTGTATTGAGTGGCTTTATCTTCTTCTTGTTGGATTTATTGGAGGTTGGCAACAAACATTTTGTAGCATTACCGCCACTTACTGATATGAAGTGTGGTTCGTGATGGACTATCTAATAAACGTATAGTTTCTAATGAAAAAAAAACTACATGCTTATACATAACTTTGTATTCTACCCATCTATATCATACACACATTCACCCTCTCTATAATCAAATTCTATGAAATAACTTCATTTTCTTTAAAATCGAATAATTATTTGTCTGTTTACTTCCCAAATTCTTCCTCAAAATATCTACCGTAATAAATTAATCTTTTCCTGAATAAATTCAAACTCTCTCCTCATATATCTTCTCTGGCTTTCATATTTATGACATTCCAGTATAACATGTTCTATTGTTTTATATTTTCCACAGTAATCACACTTGCCAGTAGTATGATTTTGAATTTTGAAAAGTGTATAATTAAGTCCTGTTTGCCCAAATTTGAACCTTGTTATCACTCTCTCCTCCTTTCTATTTCATCTTCCATTTCTTCTTTTTCCTACCATCTTCTCAATTTTATAAAACCATCTCCCTGTTTTTTCTTTATCCCACCTATTTCTTTTGCCATTTTTCCATCGGTTTTTCTATAATAATACTCTTTCCCTTTGATTTACTTGTCTTAACTGTAAAACTAATAGGATTTTGAATTGCCCTCTTTGCCATTTTATCTGCCCTCTCAATTCCTTCTACTCCAATATGTGCTGGAACCCACACAAATACAACAATCAAACCCATATTTTTTTATTCTGAATAACGTATGAAATATTTCTAATAAAATGTCCATCCTGCTATCTGACTGATTATATTTTAAACTTAATAATGCAGAGCTTGAATATGAACAAATTACTGTTTTTAATGGTTTTATGTCTTCTATCCATTGTAAAGCTAATAATATTGCCAACATTTCCCTTGTTTATACTGATAATCCAGCTGAAGTTGGTTTTCCTATTTTTATATGGAATTCTGGTATTACAAAAGCTATTCCTGTTTTCCTTGTTATTTTTGATGCATCTGCATAAATGTGAATATATTGATAAATGTAACTGTACTGAATTAATATCTACTGGGTATGATTTATCTTGTTTCTTTACCATTAGTGACATATCTACTATTGCTTCCTGTAGAATCCATGGTGGTACGAGGGGCGTTCAATAAGTAATGCCCCTGACCCATTTCCCATAGTAGGAGATTAATGAAACGTGGCACAGTTATAAGTCTTTCTCTACATAGGAACCACCCAGAGTTATGCATTTCTCCCATCGTTTGATGCAGCTCTGGACACAGTTTTTGTAGAAGACCCCAGGTTGATCCTCCAACCACGTCGTAACTTCAGAAATCAAGGCTGCATCAACCTGGGAGTCCATCTGGCAGACACCTTATGCATATACAAATGGTCATGAATGATA